GTGGAAATCACCATGCAAAGTGAGGAATAGTGATTGCTGATTGATCTTGACTGCTAAGTTCTAGTCACTCCATACTGTGTTGAGAAGTATAAATGGAATGCAAGATATTCTCTAGTGATCCCCTTGACAAAATTAAAGACAGAAAACCTACAGAGTCTAATTCAGCAGCATTGTTAATAGGAAGCCCTACAAGGAAGGAAGGTTATCCAATCTGTCACAACTAGCTAAAGGACTGATACTACCTCAGGTGTTTGCAGATGGCAAGATGACTATGGACTGATTAATCAAGGCAGTGCAAAGTATTTCTGACCACAGAAATACTGTTTGTGTGAGTAAATACATTTATTTGGAAATGTGTTATTACTATACTTTCATTTCCTGTGCTTGTTATCTAATGTATGTCAGAGCAGTAAATTTCTACCTATTTTCTCGTTTATCAAAGAGGGAGAAAAGTGAACATATTATCTTTGTTATAGTATACATTCTGTTCACAACCAGGCATCAATAGCTTCAGAGATTTGTAGGAGTATAAAATGTTAATGAATTAGCTCAAATTGCTAACACAAATGTAAACTGCGAAGAGTAATCCATTAAAAAGGAAAAACTCTAAGAAGTATGTACTATTGAAAAGCTGAGTTTAAACAATTTGTTGCACTAGTATGTTGTCTGAGATGAAATTCTGTAAAAAGTAGCTACAAGAACTATGATATTTTGATGTTTTCTTTTGACATTTCCACAGAATGTTTCAGGACATATTTAGTAAATTGAGGGTATGGATTTAAAAAAACTTCTACCATAGACTTTGTGTCCAGAAACCTAGACTAAATGCTAAAGAGTGTAAATTTAGAAAATAAATTAAATTCTAAAAAACTTAATTTGCTCACCAATAAAGTGGGAGTAATGAAATACTTAAATTACAGTAGTAGTAAAGATTAAAATAAATAATACTTAGAACAAATATGAAAGTTTCAATAAGTATCTAACAAGAGATATTATTGCTTTTGTTATTGACATATTGGAAAAATTACAACGTGTAATTTTACAATTAACAATGTGTATAAATAAAAACAAGTGAATATATTAGAAGACAAAAAGTATCATCTACCTCTTGTAGGGAAAGAGTTAAGAATGTGTGGCTGTAGGATAAATTTATACAGTTAGTTGGAACATTGCTATTGGTTTCTACAATTATTTGGAGTTTCTGTGGCTCATGAAGTGAATGAGTTTTATGTGAACAAGGTTGGACTCTGATAGCTTTCCTTTTTTTGGGGAGGGAGGTCCGGTCGTGGGGCCTGAACTCTGGGCCTGGGCGCTGTCCCTCAGCTCTTCAGCTCAAGGCTAGCGCTCTACCACTTGAGCCACAGTGCCACTTCTGGCTTTTTTCTTTTTGCTTATGTGGTGCTGAGGAATCAAACCCAGGGCCTCAGGCATGCAAGGCAAGCGGTCTACCACTGAGCCACCTTCCCAGCCCTGATAGCTTTCTTAATGGCTGAACTGAGTATTTCTCACAATTGGTTACATTTATTTTTCTGGTGGGAAGGTTGAAAAGAATTATTTTGATCAATTTTCAGGTTTGGGAGTGACTGAGGCAGCTTTCCTTCTGTAGCTCTCACCTGTAAGTGTGGCTCTTCTGGCTGTGCAAGTGAAGAACTTAGCTCACATGTCCCTGAATCCAGGATGAACTGGACTCTCCAAACTCTCTCGTAACCTAGAGTACATAGAATGTTGGATTCTGTTTTCAGTTTATAACAATTTAAGGAACCATCAGATCTATCTGGGTCACTCCTATATAGAGTGACCTCCCAATTCTTCAGATGGCTTGTGTTAGGGACTGCTAGTTTATTAGGTATCTGAAACAAGGACCTGGAAGGAAAACAAATGAAAGCAACAAAGGATGGAGCACCAAGCAGGTGACAGAGGCTCAGCTGAGGGCTCAGCACCCTACAAGAAGCTTTGAAGCTGGTGGTCCATCAGGGCATCATACACTGGTGCAAAACTTTTGGGCTCATTCCTTATAAAAACATTAAAGTAAACTTCAAGAAGGATATATATCATGGGGAATCAGTTTTCTACAAGCAACAGCATTTTTCAGTGAGCCTAATAGTGGAACCATTTTAATGCGATGGAAGCTATATGATTTCTGATATGGAGATTAATGGAAGTGTAGGCTACGTCAGTAAGCAGACTTACGAGGATGATTTTTTATAGTTTTGTTCATTAAAATAATTTCAATACTAGCTTAACATGAAGTTTTTATTTTTTAATCAAATGGTGTGCATATAAGTAAGTGGTAGATTATATGTATGTCTATATACAAATATATTTAGGATAACATGCATTAGATAAATTACAGAATTCTAAAGTTAAGTTAATCCACCTCCTTGATTTCTTGTGTATATACATTCTGGTAAGTTCAAAATAAATTAGAACACAAAACTCGCAGTATAAGTTACTTAAGCTGCAGTACACAATGACATGCCCCTTTAAATTCTAATTAATTGCTTCAAGTAGGATTTATTTGTACTCTTGGTACTTTGGGGTAATTACTGAAATTTCTTTCCTTTGCTATAATAAGAAAAAATAGTCACTAGTGATAAATTAGCTTCTTTTTCTGAATAAATGACCTTTTCTCCACATTAGCTGTTGTGGAATTGTAATGGGTCAAAATGTGTAATTATAGTGTTATAACAAATTAAAAACATCATTTGAAATTACTTGAAGAAATAAAGTTTGAAGTACATATCAAAAATTTCATACAGAAAGTGTACAAAAATGATACTTTATTATACATTTTAAAAATATTCTAACAGAATATTTCTTGAAGCCGTCAGCAAATATCTACTTTGACAAAATGAAAATATAAATGTGCTGCCCTACATGTACATCATGATCACATAAAGATGAATTCTTCAAACCCAATTCTAACAGAAATATTGCATTATTTGTAATTGTGCATTCCGTGATTAATGTCAGCAAAATTAACCAATTCACTTACATTACAAAGTCACCAAATATAAAAAGCAATTTTACACATTAGTGGCAATTTAATCTTCAGCTCTCATGTTAACTAAAGCAAATTACTGAGGAGTATTGTCACAAGAAACTGCTTAAAATGGCAGGGTTCGAGTTTCAAATCTTTGTATTAATATACAACAAAAATCTCATAAAATAACCAATCAATCTTACAAACTTGCTGAAAGAAATGAAAGGCTTTCTTACTATAATTGTTTAAATGTTTAAATATTTAAAGCATAATTTGAATACTAGGAGATTGTTACCAAAAATCAAGATTGTATTTTCATTTAACTGAGGTGGCAGTAAAAGCAGTTAGATGCTTTTACTACACATCCTATTTTCCTTTCCCCAAGAATAAGAGAAACAACTTTATCGCCCCTCAATTTGCAGAGTCTGAGAATTCCTTTAACATTAAACATGAAATAATTACTAAGAATTTGGCAAGCCAAAAACCAGTGGCTCAAGAGTCTGAGATTTGAGGTTCATGATTCAAAGCCTGCCCCAGTAAAAAAAACTCTAAAACTCTTATCTCCAATTAACCAGCAAAAACCCGGAAGTAGAGCTGTGGCTTGAGTGGTAGAGCACTAACTAGCCTTGAGCAAAAAAAGCTAAGGGACAATGCCCAGGCCCTGAGTTCAAGCCCCAGCACTGGAACAAACAAACAAAAAACTTGGCAAAATTGAACTTTAGGGACTCCATTCAAGGTAAAAGATTAAGTCCCTGGTTACCAAGTTTTCAAAATTCTAAAAAAAAATGCAGGAATAAATTATTTCCTATCTACTAACTTAATTGCCATACTTAAAGTACTTTCATTAATGAACACATAGGTAGCAGAATGCATAAATTAAGCAGTCTTAATTTCTTTCCTTTAAGAAAAAAGTTTTGGGCAGCTCATGCCTATAATCCTAGCTACTCAGGAGACTGGGACCTGAACATCATGGTTTGAAGCCAGCCTGAGCAGTGCCTGTGAAAGTCTCATCTCCAATAAACTACTCAGTAAAAGCAGAAAGTGGCACTGAGGCTCAACTGGCAGAATAGCCTTGGGCACAAAGAGGCTCAAGGTCAATGCCCAGGCCCTGAGTTCAAGCCCCAGGACTGGCAAAAAAAAGAAAACGAAAACAAAAAAAGTTTTTTTAATTTCAGAAATCTGAGTCAAGGAAAAGATAGTCTCAAATCGAATCCAATTACCATCAAAGCATCCCAGTCAGAGCTACGGTTTCAGAGGAGGGTGTAACAGAAAAAGGTCAATTTAATATTTAAGGAAAAACTCCCTGACTTGCAACCTTCTTTAAGGAAAAGGGAAATCTTATTAAAGTTGATACTGTTATGTCTGAAGAAATGTAGTAGTTCATACAGTTTAACTGTAGTAGAAGTCAGTCAGCTAAAATTGTTAACTCCATTTATGATGTCCATCTGACATCAGAATACATTTTGATCTATCCTATAGATGTAAGTATATTGTTTGGAAATTCTTATGTAATATGACTTAAAAGAACAAGTCTCTACAGCATTCCTGTCTCCCTTGACCCTAGCCTACCCAATGACACGTATAAAGCACCAGCCAAGTAAAACTCCCTCCTAATGATAATCACTGTCCTTGCAGGCTAATAGCTTTCATTTGAACTAAATGAGATGATATATAAAGACAAGACCTACGGAAACAGAAAGCCTCTAATGTTGGGCTGGGAAGGTGGCTCAGTGGTAGAGCGCTTGCCTTGCGTGCATGAGGCCCTGGGTTCGATTCCCCAGCACCACATAAGCAAAAAAAAAAAAAAAAAATGAAAGCCGGAAGTGGCACTGTGGCTCAAGTGGTAGAGCGCTAGCCTTGAGGTGAAGAGCTGAGGGACAGCACCTAGGCCCAGAGTTCAGGCCCCACGACCAGAACCCCGCCCCCCCCCCCCCAAAAAAAGCCTCTAATGTCTAAGTTGACAAACGTCAACTTCAATAAAAGGAAATATTAAATAGACTACTGCAAAAACATTCCATTTCGGTAAGCACAAAATATGCTTTTAATTAAAAAGTATTTTCTCAATTTCTACTTGTTTGCTATATGTTAACATAAGGCTTCAAAAATATTTAGTAATCATTACCCCATTTGACACATGGATAAAAATAATACAAGATCCTATATATAATTATCCCTCTCCTACAGAAAACAATATATACACAATGTTAAACAACAAAGCTATATTTTGAGAACTAAAATAGATGATGTTTCTAACTCACAACTATGAAGAAAAAACTTCATATCCCTTGTAAAGTTAGTCAGTTATTAGCCTCATGGCTATTTAAAATATTTTGCTCAAAATATTTAATGTGAGTATATATACATATACACACATATGCTCTCTTTTTCTCATATACTTTCATGTAGAACACATAAACATAATTTCTATCAGCAACATTTAAAATCTGAGTAAAAAATAATGAATCAAGCTTTTACAAACAAGATAGACAGTAGAGAAATGACATTTTAACCTTGGCACAGGCTAATATCATTTCTTGCTCAACCTATCCTATAATGTATCAGGCATTCAATTTCATTTTACTCTTTCATGGAATTAGACCTTATTACTCCTTTGAAAATTACATTTACAATAATTAGTGCAAATTATTCTATGCTCATAAATTAGTGATCTGCCTTGTAGATATAAAGTGGTGATTCGATACATTATTAAAATGAGATTATGAAAATACTGGAATATCAATTTGAGATTTAAAGGATTACATTTTCTACACTAAACTGCAAATTTTTACCTTAAGCAGCAAACATGTTAAATGAACTTCATTTGAAATGTCACGTGATTATCAGTAAAAATTATTTTACACAATGCAAAAAATACAAAGTCTCATTCTGTAATGGTATCTTTACATGTCAATCCTAATCTGAACTGTATTTGAATAACAACCCAAAAATCTTTGAGTGAATTCTGAAATCTTTTCAAGCCATTACTGCTCTGCAGTAATAACTGAAGTCCCAACCTAAGAACTAAGAATATGGTAACAAAATGCCAAGGGCTTTTTTCCTGAAGGCTCTCATGTAGTTCATTAGAAAAATGGGTGCAATCCAAGAAGGTACTCTGAAATCAATAGTACTACCTGTCTTAACTGAAAACGTACTTAAGATTTAAAACTTACTAAAACCTCTGTTCTAATGATTTTATACAAATTCTCCTTCATATTTAATGTAGTTAAAATATCTGCAAATTTATATAATTTTTTATGAAAATGTTTTAAACTTACTGAGTTAAACATTTTCTCACTAGTAAAGTGTTCCTAATGAAAGGAAAGGAGGGAGAAAATAGCCATAAATATCTGAACCTGATACAATCCATTAAAATGCAAGATAAATGTTCACAATTTAAAAGAAAAAATGCCTAAGTATAATTCCTCAGCAATCTACCTCAGGGATAAAAGCATGTTTTCTGTAGACATGATGAATTTAATGTTAATGCACAGTGTATTTCTGCAGACAAAACAATGTAAACCTAAGTTATCAAGTTCAATGTTTTTAAAATAAAGCTAAAACAAGCAAATATAAAGCTTAGTCTCCTTGAAATATCAACACAGTTGTTACCTCATGCAATTTCACCACTGAAATTGTTGAATTTGGTGGTGAATCAAAAAGCAAGAACAGGTTTATGCTTCTGACTCTTTCTTCTTTCCTTCTTCTCCCAAATCACTCTCTTCTGACTGGCTACTGCTAAGGACAATAAATTGTCCCTCAGTATTGGCTTGATTTGGTCTACTTGAAGCAGCTATCAACCGACTTTGCTCTTCCAAGTCCTAATGACAGAAAAGAAACTGTTCACTGTCTGCAGTCAAACAGAAAATTATGCAGCTAAAATCCATTCTTGAGAGCAATTTTAATCATAAATATGTGTGCATAATTCTGACAACTTGAACCAAACCAATTTTGATGAATTTGGGTATCATTCTAAAAGTCTTAGAAAAGCCAACATTCAGACTAAAACCTTTTTCTTTTTTCCCCAGGCTGTCCTTTTCTCTCCCTATAAGTGAAAGCTTTGTAATGACCTCCAGATACTCTTTCTTATTCTTGTCCAATTCACTTTGCTACATCAGATGTCACCTTTTTCCTCAAGTCAAGCCTATAAAAGAAGCCTGACTTCAGTGTCATCTTTGCCATTTCCCTTTCTCTCTCTCTCTCTCTCTCTCTGTGTGTGTGTGTGTGTGTGTGTGTGTGTGTGTGTGTGTATTTCCAACCCAATGCCAATTCCTAAAGATATACCATAGCTGTCTCCTCTTTTCTATTCATACTGTCAATATTGCTTCCCATAATCTCAGGGATCACCTAATCAACATTTGGCTCTGAAAATTGTGCAGCTTAATAATTGCTTCCATGACGGGCCTGGTGGCTCACGCTTGTAATCCTAGCTACTCAGGAGGCTGAAATCTGAGGATCATGGGTCAAAAAGCCAGCCCAGGCAGGAAAGTCAGTGAGACTCTTATCTCCAATAAACTACTAGAAAATTGGAAGTGGTGCTGTGGCTCAAGCAATGGAATGCTCAGTTTGAGCTGAAGAGCTCAGGGACAGCACCCAGGCTCAGAGTTCAAGCCCCACGACTGACAAAAATAAATAAATAAATAATTGCTTCCTTTTGTAGTTCTGATCTCCATACATGTATACACACATATACAGTACTTTACACTCAGGAAATTTACAAATTAAATACACTTATAAATTATTTTCCCTCTAGACATCAATATGGCTTTTGGCATTAGCAATTAAGCCTACAGAGTCTCTCAAAGGAACTACTTTGGCAAGTACAACCTTCTACAGAATATGAAAGCTCTAGTATATTTGCTTAACAGTAAGTCACACTGTGTCAATACACCTGCCATACAATTCAGGTGTTATACTCTTCTGCTATGCTACAAATCAGCTGGTTATAAAGAGGCTAAGAATGCAGAAAGAACACCTTCATTTGGAACTCAAATCTGAAAGACACGGTGAAATCCTGTCAAACACCACAAACAGAGAAGATCCAGATATTAAGGTATACCTACCTTTTCAATCTGTTTTTGTTTACTGAGCTCTTTCTGTTGCTTCTCTTTTACTCTCTCTATTTCTTTTTGTTTTTCTGATGCCCTCCGATCCTAAATAACAACACTAATGAATTAATATAAAAGAACTTTACATTTTTAATTAAAATTAATTTTTAAATTTTTAATTAATTGTAACCTTTCAATTTTTGACACTTACACATTAAAAGGTTCACCGATAATTTTCATTCCGTGTTAGACATTTCAAGTACCCAAAGGCTGATAAAACTAACCTGTAATTCTAGCTACTCAGGAAGATAAGATCTGAAGATTGTGGTTCAAAGCCAGCTGGGCAGAGAAGCCCATGAGATACTTATCTCCAGATACTACTAAAAAGGCCAGAAGTGAAACTGTGGCTCAAGAGCGCTAGCCTTGAGGGAGTGGGGGAGAACTAGAGAACAGCACTCAGGCCCTGAATCTAAAAGCCCCAGGACTGGCACAAAAAGTTAAATGAATGAATAAAACTGATTAAAAAATGCTCCAATCAGCCGGGCGCTGGTGGCTCACGCCTGTAATCCTAGCTACTCAGGAGGCTGAGATCTGAGGATCGCGGTTCAAAGCCAGCCCGGGCAGGAGAGACTGTGAGACTCCTATCTCCAATAAACCACCAGAAAACCGGAAGTGGCGCTGTAGCTCAAGTGGTAGAGCGCTCGCCTTGAGCTGAAGAGCTGAGGGACAGCGCCCAGGCCCAGAGCTCAAGCCCCACGACCGACAAAAAAAAAAAAAAGCTCCAATCCTAGAAACCAAGCCTCTGTGTATTTACTTCTGAGTCTATGAACCTGCACTAGTGGCCTTCATGTGTCCTCTTCCTCATGGATACTTCCTCCATGTGCCCTCTTCTCACTATCTCAAATTCACCTCTGAAATAGTAAAGCTTGCAAAGAATGAAGGGAGCAGCTATTGATTCTAAATGCTATATTGTTAATAGTATCTATTTAATCATATATGATTAACCTTGCTTAGAAAAGTAATTTTATTTACTTGCTAATATGAGTTTATACTATTTTAGCTAACATTCTTAGAAGTTTTAAGTGTCTCTTGTATTCTTACCAGTTCAGCATGCAAAGCTATCTGTTTTGCCAGTCCAACAGCATCACAAATCTAAGGAAGGAAAACAGTATGAAAAACTACATCCAAAACAAAAACTTCAAGTATCCAGTTATGTTCAAAACTGAACATAATACACTGCTTCAAATAAAGGCTAACTTGGGGATGCTTCAATCCCAGAAACCAAGCCTCTGTGTATTTTCTTTGGAGTCTGTCGTCTACTACTCTTTCTCTTTTATATGCCCTATTTCTCATTCTATCATATTCACTACTAAGATAGATAGTAAGACCTGCCAAGAGTGAAAGAAATAGCTGCTGATGATGCTGTAAGCTAATGACACCTGAAAATAACTGATTATGGGAATATATTTTATTCCCAGGATAAATTATTCTTACTTCTCTTCACAGAAACATGCTTTGGCCAAGCAGTTCAATGGGACTAGCAGAAACTTTTTCTAGAAATATTAGTAAACTCTGTGACTACAACAATCAGAACATTTTGAAAAATGAGATACCTTTTCTCCCTCGTTGTTTGATTCAAATATATAGCAGACTGAGGACAGATTACTTTCACTCCTCCCTCCTGATGTCCGAAGGACAAATCCAAAAAGCCGCTTATTTTCCTGGTGTGTAGCATACAAAACCACGTAGGGCAATGGAAACTGCCACAAAGAATATTATAAGGTCAAAACAAGATATTCCAAATTATTACAGTAGCACTATTATATGACATATGCTAAATTCTAAAAGTATCGCAAACAGAATTTTTAAAGTCAATTTGTGTGTGTGTGTGCTGGTGCAGGGGCTTGAATCAGGATCTGGTCACTGTCCTAAGGTTTTTTTGCTCAAGGTTAGTATTCTACCATTTGAGCCACAGCTCCACTTCCAGCTTTTTGGTGGCTGAGTGAAGATAGAGTCTCATGAGCCGGGCGCTGGTGGCTCACACCTGTAATCCTAGCTACTCAGGAGGCTGAGATCTGAGGATCTTGGTTCAAAGCCAGCCCGGCAGGAAAGACCATAAGACTCCTATCTCCAATAACCACCAGAAAACCGGAAGCAGCGCTGTAGCTCAAGTGGTAGAGCTCAAGCCTTGAGCTGAAGAGCTGAGGGACAGCACTCAGGCACCCAGAGTTCAAGGCCCACGGCCGACAAAAAAAAAAGTCTCATGAACTTTCCTCCCACTCTGGCTTTGAATCATGATCCTCAGATCTCACCTTCCTAAGTAGCTAGGATTACAGGTGTAAACTTACCAGCATCTGGCTAAAGCCAATTTTTTTTAAGACTACAAAAACAAATAATGTAATATTTGGTTTGGATTACCAAGGAGCGTAAGAGGCTATCAAATGTTTAACTTTATTAGTCATTAACACATTAACACATTTAGAAAAATCAAATTCAGTAGCATTTTATTTAAAAACTACGTTATACATTAATGTAATTATTAATCACTGTAAGTAAAACTACACTTTAGTGCAAAAATGCATAATAGTAAAATAAAAACCATACTCACTTTTTAATTCTATATCTAAGGTTTATGACAAATAATCTTGAGCTAATGGATGAGTATTAAGTATTATAGTAGATTGTAGTAGATTGTTAAGTTACCCAGAACATTCAGCTCAACTGGTATTTTTTTAAGTAATTTCGAACAAAAAAGTGCTTCAATAGTATAAAAAATTCTTTTTACTCAGATTGAGGTATTAGTTATTATTTCTATTTGAATTTGAGACCTTAATTTTTCTATAACTTGAATATTGTAGTAAGTACCATTACAGGTGTGAGCCACCAGTGCCCAATTATCTTTTTTGAAAATAGCCATAGACTTAATAGACCAAGCATACTGATACTATCATGTGAATATACAGAATCAGGATTATTATTCTAGTTCAAAGATGTATTGATACAAAAAGGAAACTGAAATTCTCCATCATGCAACACTCACCGTGAGTCTTGTAACTTGTGTCTGTGGATCAATTAACCTACAATAATAATTAGAATTAGGCTGAAACCATGTAAACGTTTTTCTACAAGTTTCTGATGAGATGAGTTACTACTTACTTTAAACAGTCACAAGTGACTAATAAATGTGATTCTGTCATACGGAAAATGTTATGAATGGCCCGAGCAGCTAAGATCTGGCGCATCGTTTCATAAACAACATCTGGATGATCATCTGATTTCACCTCCATAGAACCAAGGAACCGAACAATAAATAACTGATGAAGAATAGAATCTATAACAGAACAAAACACAGTATGTGTTTTTAAACTTTACATTTTTTCATAGGAATATACTGCCTCCTTTTAGATATTCTACTGAAAACCCACATAAAAAGAAGTATTTAGCCAGGCACTGGTGGCTCGCACCTGTCATCCTAGCTACTCTCCTGAGATCTGAGGATCACGGTTCAAAGCCAGCCTGGGGAGGAAACTCCATGAGACTCTTATCTCCAATAAACAACACAGAAAACCAGAAGTAGCACTGTGTCTCAAGTGGTAGAGCGCTAACCTTGAGCTGAAGAGCTGAGGGACAATGCTCAGGCCCAGAGTTCAAGTCCCATGGCCAAAAAAAAAAGTATTTAGAAATAACTTCTTACTACAATATTCAAGTTACAGAAAATTAAGGACTCAGGGCTGGGAAGGTGGCTCAGTGGTAGAGTGCTTGCCTTGCATGCTCGAGGCCCTGGGTTCGATTCCTCAGCACCACATAAGCAAAAAGAAAAAAAGTCGGAAGTGGTGCTGTGGCTCAAGTGGTAGAGCGCTAGCCTTGAGCTGAAGAGCTGAGGGACAGTGCCCAGGCCCAGAGTTCAGGCCCCACGACCAGACCCAAAAAAAAAAGAAAATTAGGGACTCAGATTCAAAATAGCAATAACTAATAACTAATGCTTCAATCTGAGTAAAAAAATTCCTTGTACTACTGTAGCGTTTTTTTAAAGTTTGGAATTACTTTTAACTAAGCTGGATGCCAGTGACTCACATGTATAATCCTAGTTACACAGGAGACCAAGAACAGAAGATTGTGATTCAAAGCTAGCTTCAGCAGATAAATCCACGAGATTCTTATCTCTAATTAACCAATAAAAAGCCAGAAGTAAAAGGTATGGCTCAAGTGGTAGAGAACCAGCTTTGAGCAAAAAAGCTAAAGAGAAAGCACCCTGGCCCTAAGTTCAAGCCCAATACAGGCACAAAAACAAAACAAAAACACCCAACTACAGAAACAAAGAGTATTATTCTCCAGGCCAAATTGAAGCAGAAAAGCTTGAATAATTTGACTATGAATAACATTTCCAAAATAACCAGCAAAAAGCCAGGCTGGAGGCATAGCTCAAGTGGTAGAACACCACTCAGTGCAAGGCCCTGAGTTCAAACTGGGGGGTGGGAGGGGAGGAACTTGAGCACGCAGCTGTAATGTAGCATGCAATGTAATGCAGCATGCCTGTAATCCTAGCTATGAGGAAGGCAGAGATTGGAAGAAAATCATCATGTAAGGTCATCCTTGGCAAAAAGTTTCTGAGACCCTATCTCAACAAATAAGCAGGGCATGGTGATATACACCTGCAATGCCAGTCACACAGGAGGATTATTCAAGGTGCAATACTGGCCCTGGGTAAAATATAAGACCTTATCCCAGAAAGTAACAAGCAAAAAAAGGGTTAGATATTTATAAGATTATGTCTTTGTTGCCTTGTATGTCCCTCCCCCATGATACAACCCCTGCTTTCACTATATATGATGTTGGTATATGTGGAGAGGAAGGGAAAAAACAAATTGTAAAAACAGGGATACAGGAGGACCCATTGCAACAATGAGATGTACAAGTCGTTATGTCGAAAAACGAACTTTACAACTTTGGTGGGGGGGGGGGGGGCAGGGGGAGGATATGAAGGGATGGGAAGGGGAAACAAAGCAGGAGGTTACAATGCTTGATAAGAAATGTGCTCATTATCTTACCCACGTAATTGTAACCCCGCTGTACAGTACTTTCACAATAAAAATATATTTAAAAAAAAAAAAAAAAGGGTTAGGAGCCGGGCACCAGTGGCTCACACTTGTAATCCTAGCTACTAAGGAAGCTGAGATCTGAGGATCACAGTTAAGCCAGCCTGGGAAGAAAGGGAAGTCTATGACACTCTTACCGCCAAAAAACTACCAGAAATCCAGAAGTGGCACTATGGCTCAAGTGGCAGAGTGCTAGCCTTGAGCAGAAGAGCTGAGGGACAACACCCAGGCCCAGAGTTCAAGACCCATGACCGAAAACAACAACAAAAAAAGGTTGAGAGTATGGCTCTAAAAAAACTGCAAAAAAAAAAAAAATTGCAAAACTGAAAACCTGAGCATAGCAGCAGAGTAAATACAAATCTTGTGGTTTCCTGAGTAGCTCTAAAATTTAATAGTATACATTTGTTATACCTTCTGTTTCAGATTTTGTATTTCCTCCAGATTCACCAAATGGATTTGTACGCCTGAAAATTTTTAGAAAAAAATAACACAAATTATCAGTTCCATGAGCCACAATGGATCTAATGATTGAAAACAGAGTTTAAAACTGAGTTACAAACTTCATAAATTCATTCCAAAAGCTATAAAATATCTTATCCTGTTAAGAAACAATACTGGGTTATAGGGCAGCTCTATGTTTAGTCTTTTGAAGAATCTCCATACCACTTTCCAGAATGGTTGAAAAAGTTTGCATTTCCACCAACAGTATAGTAGTGTTCCCTTTTGCCACATCCCCACCAAGCAGCAGTTATTGTTAGTTCTTTTGATAATGGCCAGTCTAACTGGGGTAAAGTAGAATCTCAATGTTGTTTTGATTTGCATTTCTTTTATAGCCAAAGGTATTGAATATTTCCTTATGTGTCTATATGAAGAAATATACACACAGAAGAAGTACTTCTTTTTCTGAGGATTCTTAAGTATTCAGACCATTTGTTAACTGGGTTGTTGTTTCTTTGAGGGTTGGAAAGTAGTATGGAGGTTCCTCAAAAGACTAAGCATAGACCTTCCCTATAACCCAGCAATTCCACTCCTGGGCATTTATCCAATAAATCACAAACAAGGCCACACTAAAGCTACCAGCACAATCACAGTCACTGCAGCATTGTTTACCATAGCCAAAATAAGGGATCAACCCAGATGCTTCTCAGTGAATGAATGAATCAAGAAAATGTGATAAATATACACAATGGAATTCTATGCTTCCATCAGAAAGAATGATATTGCACCATTTGTAAGGAAATGGAAAGACCAAAAAAAATTGTATTGTGAAGTAAGCTAGACCCAAAGAAACATTTCCCTCATTTGTTGCAACTAGAATGTGCCTATAAATCTACAGGTAAACACACTGGATGGTAAAAGAAAAAAAAACTACATTTAGACAGTATAAGGTATATGGAACTCTAAACATTTACACAGTGAGACCAAAGGAGGATATTCATTCAGGGCCTGGGCACTGTCCCTGAGCTTCTTTTGCTCAAGGCTAGTACTCTACCATTAAGCCACATTCTCAGCTCCCAATAGTTCTTTTAATAGTTCTCTTTTAAGAATATCCTATTTTGGAGGCTGGGAATGTGGCTTATTGGTACAGTGCTTGCCTAGCATGCATGAACCCCTGGGTTCTATTCCTCAGCACCAATAAACAGAAAAAACTGGAAATGGCACTGTGGCTCAAGTAGTAGAGTGAGGTAGGAAATCTTGATGCCTTCTTGGGCTACATACGTAACAGCAAGGCTCTATGTCAAAAATAAAATAAAGTAAAAGGGAAAAAGGAACCAGGCTCTGGTGACTCATGCCTATAATCCTAGCTACTCCAGAGGCTAGACCAGCCTTGAGGTTTGAAACCAGCCTTGGTAGAAAAGTTTTATGAGACACCATCGCCAATTAACTACAAGAAAGCCAAAGCTAGTGGGTTTGCTCAAGAAGTAGAGCATCAGCTCTTAGTAATAAGCAAGCTTAACAAGAGTGTGAAACACTGAGTTCAAGCCTAGACTCTGTTTAAAAAAAAAAAATTAACAACTTTCTTATGCAATTGTCAAATAAAATTCCCAAGCAGATCTGATAAGTAATTTAGAATTAAATATTTTTGAAATTATATTATCCTAAGTCCTTTTCTGAGGCAAAAGACTGAGAAAAACTCTATTAAAATACTAATAGGTAATTAACCTAAAGAAACTGTACCACACAGCTGATATACAAGACATGAAAAAGATGCCTCTCAAGTACAGATCCTTAATCTTACAAACCACAGCAAAAAGTCACCATATATCACTCACTTGCCTCCCTGGCCAGAAGCTTTTGCTTGGCCAGGCTGATCTTCACACACAGGAGAAATTATGTCAAATTGTATTGGGGTGTCTGGGGCAACAAGAGAATCTAGTGATAAGGCAGCCAAATTCATGGATTCAGATCCTATGGACCCTGAACTGCTTGTCCGAGCTGTCGGTGGCCGAGACTGTCTATACAACCAAGGAAAACAAGAAGGCACTGGATTTAGTTTTTGAAACTGAACACTTAAACTGTGAAAAAAACAAATAAAACCTAGAAATCAGTCAATGAGACTAAAGTAAATTTCAATAAAAACACAATCCCAATCCTAGCTTTATTTAATGACAAATTTTCTTTCCAATTAAAAACATAAATCATATTTGTACAACTGAGGAAAAGTAGGAGGAGGAAAAGTGGGGGAAAAAATGAGGGAGTAACAAGTTCGACATATACTCACTACCTTACTTCTGTAACTGTAACCCCTCTGTACATCACCTTGACAATAAAATTTTTAAAAAAACATAAATCATCTCAACCTATCAAGAGATACAAGGAAAAACTGAAATTATTTATTTTGTAACTTTACTGGTATCATTTTGAAATTTCATTATCATTTTGAAATTTTGCTTTGATGTTGTTCAGATAACTATTTAATACTAAACTAAGTACTGCTAAAATCAAAGTGCTCCTAACACTTTTAAATAGCCCATGTTGTTCTTTAAATAACTTTACAGCATGTAAACTCACCCTGCTGGCCGTAGGCTCTCATGCCTTTGCTGGAAGGATGGGGAGGGAGTGACAGCTTCCAGAGCTGACTGATTTACTCGTGCAGCAGTTTCCTATTTTGATTTTTTTTTAATGAAAAGGATTAAAATTAATTATAAAAGAAATCAAAAACTGACAACTTCTGAATGGTAAACCCTCTGTACAACACCTTAATATTAACAATAAAATTATGTTTTGAAAAAACAAATACAAACTGAAGCTACTGGTGTTGCTCCAGGTTCTCTTGTCTTACTATTAAAGTACTCAATTTCATATTATAAACATTTCTTTTTGCTTCCTGTAGGTTAGGGTGAAAAGGTCTGTTTTCTACAAATATATATAATAGAAAAATGCTGGAGTTTTTCTATAAAATTATAATTACCAGTAATTTGGAACTAAGTTTTGTATTGCTAGAGTCAGGGAACTTGGTCAGTCAATACATTTCTTGAAAAAAAGTTAAGAGCAGGAAATGTCATACAATGTTAGAATTATTATTTTATAATTTTGTTGTTATCATTTTAACTTTCCAACTATATACTATGAAACACCTACATGTTTATTTACAAAATTATGGATACTTTTAAAGCTTTCTATACAGGAATATTTTAGACTTATTGTAAAAATGGTACTTAGAAATGTTTTCTATATAGTTAACTCTAGTACTCCACTTAAAATTGTTAAGAAAGGCCAGGCAATGGTGGCTCATATCTGTAATACTATCTACTAAAGAGGATGAGATCTGAGTATCCTGGTTGAAAGCCTGCCTGGGTAGGAAACCCCACGAGACTCTTATGGATAACCATCAAAAAACTGGAAGTGGAACTGTGGTTCAAGTGGAAGAGCACTAGCCTTGAGCAAATGATCTCAAGAACAGCACTCAGATCCTGACTCAGCCCCAGGACTGCATCCCCCTCCCCCACCAAAAAAAATTAGCTAGGAAGGTAAACTTTGTAATTCTGTGTGTGTATATGTATGTGTGTGTGACAATACTAAGGCTTGAACTCAGGGGTTGCATGCTGTCCCTCAGTTTTTTACTCAAGGCTGGCAAGCAAAAATAGATCCATAGCTCTACTTCTGACTTTTTGCTGGTTAACTCATGGACTCATGGACTTACCTGCCTGGGCTACCTTCAAACTGTAATTCTCAGATCTCAACCTCCTGAGCTGGGATTACAAGTGTAAACCATTGGCACCCAGCAAAACTTTGTAATTTTTTTTTTATCACAATAAAAAATTAGAGGGGAAAAAAAACAACACATATCACTTTTACATTTCTTTTTTTTTGGTTGCTCACAAGTAAACTGACAAGAAAAAAAAGTTTGGCAGATCAAATTACATACTGTTAGCACTGACTTTCTAAGATTAAATTCCTAAGTTTGTGATAAAGCTATTACTTTACAAATTATGAAATTTGTTTGACTCCAACTCCTTGTGTCCTAACTGGCACCTCAAGGCCATTTTGTTAAAAATAGAATTCTTTTTTGGTCTGGTTGTGGGGCCTGAACTCTGGGCCTGGGCGCTGTCCCTCAGCTCTTCAGCTCAAGGCTAGCGCTCTACCACTTGAGCCACAGCACCACTTCCGGCTTTTTTTTTTTTGCTTATTTGGTGCTGAGGAATCAAACCCAGGGCCTCAGGCATGCAAGGCAAGCGCTCTACCACTGAGCCAACTTCCCAGCCCCAAAAACAGAATTCTTTTGCCAAATTTTTCCTCTCTTCACTTGAGTTTAAAACTTGAAAGTCATCTTTACCTTATTTATCTCCTACAAATTTTATTATGTCATTTACTAACTTGTGTAGCCCTCTCATCTTATCTGACATCATATCAAGTTTTTTTTTAAATGATAGGTTAGTTTATTTATTTATTTATTTTTGGGTTCAGTCGTGGGGCCGGAACTCTGGGCTTGGGCGCTGTCCCTCAGCTTTTCAGCTCAAGGCTAGCGCTCTAACACTTGAGCCACAGTGCCACTTCCGGCTTTTTTCTTTTTGCTTGTGTGGTGCTGAGGGATCGAACCCAGGGCCTCATGCATGCAAGGCAAGTGCTCTGCCACTGAGCCACCTTCCCAGTCCCATATCAATCAAATTTTAAGATTTACCTTCCTCAACTGACATCATCCCAGCCCTGGGAACTAACCACCTAGTATAGCCAGGCCCATCAAGTGTGACAGGGTTATGATAAATCCTAATCTAGAGTCACCTTTTCCCAAGTATTCTGCAGTATGAACTCATTGATTCCTTTCAGAGTCCTTGGTACTCCCAAGTTCTGTGTTGGAACTTCACATATAGTTAGTGTCTACAATGTTGAGTTCACCAGGTTTGAAATTCTTGCCTCAAAGAATAATTTGTAAAACTGAGTTCAGACTACATCATCACAGACGTAACATTTCTACCAAGAACCTCTTAAATTACTACAACTAGTTCTTTCATTTATCTTTCTTCCTCAAAACTCCAAGAAATCCTATTTCAGAACTTTCTGTAAAGCCTAAGTCCACCATTCTCAAATGGTAATAATCATTACCATTTGATTTCTCACATCCTGCTATATATACAATGTTACTTAAACTTTTATTTTTGTCTCACCATAATAGCAACTCTTAAAAGAGTTCAGAAGAAAGTCATGGCTTATTTTTCTTTCACATTTTTCTTCCCTACTCCATTGTACCCAATACAGATCTACTGTCAAAATCTAGTGAGTACCCATTGACTCACTAATTTCATTAACTCCTCAAATTTATTGTTCTAGGAAGGTCAGATATTTGTAACATAGAGGATACATTAAAGCTACCCATTTGGCATCACATTAAAAGGTTGCAGAACTATAGAAATGGCTCAATTTAACAAAAGCCTTGTAAACCACAAAATTATTCTGCTAGATCTAGGAAACATAAAATAAAAATATTACCTCTGGATTTTCACTTAAGTATATTTGTTTAGATATGTTGTTTATTGTACAGATCCACTGAAAGAGGGAAAAATAGAAAAATGATTAATATTTTTCCAACATAGCTTATGTTCTAAAAAAGAATGTTTAGTATTCAATTGAAACCAAAGTTCCATTAGAAAGTTTATGTTATTCAATACAGGTGACTCACATCTGTCATCCTAGCTACTCAGGAGGCTGAGATCTGAGGATTAAGGTTCAAAGCCAGTCCAGACAAGAAAGTCTATGACATTCTTATCTCCAATTAACCACAAAAGCCAGAAGTGAAGCTGTGGCTCAAGAGACATAGTGCTATAGCTTTGAGCAAAAAGGTTAAAGAACAGCACCAAGCCCTCAGTTCAAGCCCCAGATACCCAGACACCCCCACCCACCCACCCACCCCATTCCCACACACACACAGAGTAACCTATAATCTGTCTTATTAAAAAATCACTTGGGAGCCAGGTGTCAGTGACCTGTAATCCTAGCTACTCAAAGATGCTGACATCAGAAGATTGCAGTTTGAAGCCAGCCCAGCTGGAAACCATTAGACTCTTATCTCCCATAAAATACCTTAAAAAAAAGAAGCCAGAAGTGGCACTGAGGCTCAAGGCCTCAAGTGGTAGTGAGCAAAAGAAGCTCAGGGAAGGGGGGTGGGAATGGGAAGGGATAGGAAGGGGAAACAAAGGAGGAGGCAACAATGCTTGATAAGAAACGTACTCATTATCTTGCCCATGTAATTGTAACTCCTCTGTAGGTATTTTCATAATAATAATAAAAGAAAAGGGGGGGGGGGGAAGCTCAAGGACAGTACCCAGGCCCCAGAATTCAAGCCCCAGAACTGGCCAAAAAAAAAAAAAATCACTTGGGGAGAGGTGTATAGTTTTAGAGGTAGAACACATCTTTGTTTAGCATGTGTAAGGCCCTGGCTTCAATCTCCAGCACCAAAACAAAAAACAAGAAAATATACTATAAACATACATGTAAGAGATCATTCAGATTTATGACTTGAAAATCTCATTTATGTCACACAGAAAATAAAAACTATAGCAATCATGTTAAATTATGTCTTTATTTATATCTTTACATTACTTAATCCCTACCAAACAACACAGTCTGAACTCAGATACTATAATATCAATTCAAAATATTAAGAAATAAGTACTTTCTTGATGAATGTATATTACTTACATCCCTTCTTTCCACATAAAACATGCTATCTGTTCCCTATCTTCTGATTCATTCTCAAGAATTTTAGTACCTCTTGGGCCTCATCACTAAACTAGTATTTTGTTTTAGTAAAGTACATAGAGAACAGAAACATTTGTCTGTCTTCCTCAAGAGACCAAGAGCAAGTTTTAATGTTAACTCTTTTCCTTGAGAACTAAATAAAGGTAGATCACTGCATAATTTGCAACTTTCTCTTTTACCAATACAATTATAATACTAGATTAAGAAGGCTCAAAATCAAGTTTGGCTTATTTTCATGGACAAATATTTCTAAAAGCATAGTTTGGGATATAAGTTCTTGGTAATGCCTTACCTTCCAAATTTTGTATACTAGAAGTAAAAACGGAGCCAAAACTAAAAGGCTGATGAGAAAGAACAGGGACTCCCAAATTTTTGTTTTTCTCTTTTCTTTCATTTCCCCAGGATTTTAAGCTTTAGTTGTTTCTTGCTATGCCACATCTGCTGCCACTACATTCTTACTGCAGCAAATAGTGTCTCAAATGATTTAGTAAGAGAGTAAGTTAAACTGTCAACTCATGATATTAAAAGCCTGCCAGAAGACAACAATCACAAGGTCATTGCTGAATTTAAGCCTTTAAAGTAGCAGGGACATGATCTTTAAGGTCTCTTCAACTTTATAATTCTGTGAGAAATGTTGCTTCAGATCCGAAAACTTTTTAATTAAGGTTTTTCCAAAATTTCTATAATGAACTTACAATAGTCTTATCCTCAGAAAAATATTTTTAAACATTGAAGAAATTAGTTAGAGGGCTGGGAAGGTGGCTCAGTCGTAGAGTGCTTGCCTTGCATGCAGGAAGCCCTGGGTTCAATTCCTCAGCATCGCATAAGCAGAAAAAGCCGGAAGTGGCACTGTGGCTCAAGTGGCAGAGCGCTAGCCTTGAGCTGAAGAGCTGAGGGACAGCACCCAGGCCCAGAGCTCAGGCCCCATAACCAACAAAAAAAAAAAATTAGATAAAAATCTTACCTCCTCATGGTCCTTTTTACTTTCTGCTTGCAAAATTGAAGATCTAGAGGACAAAAAAGAATTTCAGTCTCAACTTTTAAAATGAAAAACCATAAACTAAACAAAACAAAAAAACACAACCAAAGCTGAAGACGTGGCTCTAGTGGTGGAGTGTCTAAGTTCAAACTCTAATACTTGTCCCTCTGTAAAAAAAAAATCTACAACCAATACTATCTTAGGAAAAGGAGACCACTAGAGACATCAGGACAAAGATTTTAACAACTTAAGAGTGGCCAACTATGCCAACACATAGCAAAATGGAAACAGGAAATGGCTTTAAAAAGACAGACCATCGGGCTGGGAAGGTGGCTCAGTGGTAGAATGCTTGCCTTGCATGCATGAGGCCCTGGGTTCGATTCCTCAGCACCACATAAGCAGAAAAAGCTGGAGGTGGGGCTGAGGCTCAAATGGTAGAGCGCTAGGCTACAAATGAAGAGCTCAGGGATGGCGCCCAGGCCGAGTTCAGGCCCCACGACCGACCAAAAAAAAAAAAAAGACCGACCATGAAGGTACACTTCAATTATAACAATGCATCTCAATGTTTTTATATTTATAGACAGTGATTCTACTAGAAAATACTAACTTTATCGTTGATAGTTTCTCCTTCAATAGGGTTAGATCAAAATTTCAATATATGACTCACTAAACAGATATTTGCCTTTCTATAAATGTCAATATTATTAAAGTTAGACCAAATATCTTGCTAATTTTGTATTGCACCAGAAATAAAAACAGGAAATCATATTAAGAATTAGCAAAAACTAAATATACAAAAATGTTAGCATTGGTATTAACAACTTGGTAATTTTGCTAAATGAACACAGTGACTCAACACTTGATATGATAACTAAGTATACAATACAGACATCCACTATGCTTTTAGAAGTAAAAAAAAATGAAACAACCTATTTGATGTAAGATAGTGAGCCATGGTATCTTTTTTAAGAGGTTAAGGTTGAATTAATTTATTTTCATAGCATCTCAATGTGCATGAATATACAAGGAAAAATGACTTTTAGGGAATCCAGAAGCTATTCCTAAACAGTAAGAAAGTTCCAACATCAGAATCAATAATCTAGGTGGAAGAGAAAAAAAAACACAGCTATAACCTTTATCATTAGGAAGACCTTTAACTGATACTGTATGTCTAAAAAGATTATAATGCAACCAATGAAATTGTTTTTGTTCTTTGGAGGGAGGCAGTAATGAGGTGTGAACTCAGGGCTTCACAGGTTCTGTACCTCTTAAATGATACTCTTGTTCTTTAGGTGTTAATTTTCTTGTGTTTTTGCCCAGGGACAACCTCAGACCAGGATCTTCTGCAGGGAATCAGAGGTATGTGCCACCCATGCCAGAATTATAAGACATGGTCTTACTAACTTTTAACCTACAAGAACTGGAGGAATTGTGCTTCTCCTGACTGACTGGGATTACAGATATGAGTCACCATGCTTGGAATTTTTTGTAGGTTCTAGGGACTGAATTTAGGACTTCAATTTTATTAGTTCTCTACCACTTGGGTCACACCTCCAGACCTTTTTCCTCTGGCTGTTTTTAAGATTGTCTCTTTCTTACTTCCCTATGCTGGCCTGGATCTTGATCCTCCTTTTCAAAAAACCTTCTATCATAGCTGCAATGACCAGAGCACACTACAGTGCCCACCTTCTGTTGATAGGGGTCTCCTAGTCTTAAACTGCAATTTGCCCAATCTCTACTTCCTAAGTAGATAGGATTACAAGAATAAGCCCCTGGCACACAGCTGAAATTGCTTCAAATAAGTGGATGTAGATCCAAATTATAACATATCTTCAATTATTTTTAAAATGCACTAAAGCCAAATGCGCTGGCTCTTGCCTGTAATTCTCCCTGCCCCCCTTCTCCCCACCCCCCACCCCGCCTAGTTCTGGAGCTTGAACTCTGGACCTGAGCTCAGGTTCCTGAGCTTCTTTTGCTCAAGGCTAGCACTCTACCACACAAGCCACAGTGCCACTTCTAGCTTTGTTTATGTGGCAAAGAGGAATTATACCCAGGGCTTCATGCATGCTAGGCAAGTACTCTATCACTAAGCCACATTCTGAGCCCCATGTAATCCTAACTACATGGAGAGTCTGAAGCAAAACAATCACAAGTTAGAAGGTCACCTAGACAATTTATCAAAATCTTTTTTTTTCTTTTTCTTTTTTTTTTTTTTGTCGGTCGTGGGGCCTGAACTCTGGGCCTGGGCACTGTCCCTCAGCTCTTCAGCTCAAGGCTAGCACTCTACCACTTAAGCTACAGCGCCACTTCCTGCTTTTTCTGCTTATATGGTGCTGAGGAATTGAACCCAGGGACTCCTGCATGCAAGGCAAGCACTCTACCACTGAGCCACCTCTCCAGCCCTCAAAATCTTTTCTCAATATAAAATGATTTTTTTGTGCTGGTGTTGGGGCTTGAACTCACAGCCTTGGCACTTTTTTTCAAGGTCAGTGATCTACCAATTGAGCCACGGCTCTACTACGGGCTTTTTGGTGGTTAATTGGAGATAAAAGTTTCATGGGCTTTCCTGCCTGGGTTGGCTTTGGACTATGATCCCTAGATGTCAGCCTCCTGGGTATCTAGGATTACAGGCATGAGCCACTGACACATGGCCAGTGAAAGGCTTTTTTTTAAGGGCTGGGGACTTAGCTTAGTGTGAGAGTACTTGCCCAGAATCCTGAATGCCAAGGCCCAGTATCACAAAAAGACAGAGAGAAAGAGCGGAAGAGAAAAGGGGGGGAGAGAGGGAAATTAATTCAGGATAAACCCTGGAAGACAATAAACAAAAAATTCATGTTGCTTCTGGTTTATAAAGTTATGAGTGGATTTTTTCATACTTTTTATATACATGCTTTCCAAAAATGGTTTCTAAGCACTATAGGTTCTCATTTAATGTAAAGATATTTGAGTTTTACAAACATTTTATGCACTAATGGACAAAATTAAGCACAAGCATTTAACATTTAAAAATAACACTACTGTTAGTGGCAGGCACATTGCAAATGTTAAGACTTCTATTTTAAGAAATTTACAGCTCTTCTACCTGTTTTTTACATTTAGAAAAATGAACATGATAAGGATATGACAAAGATAAATAACTGAGCTACAGTTTGAATTTCACAGGCCCAAAGTTGACAGACTTATGTTAACTTGTTTTGGCTTCCACATATTATACAAGATTTTCAGTGGCCAGTAGTTAATGGGAGATAAAGAGTCTCACAGGCTTTCCTATCCAGGCTGGTTTTGAACCGCAATCTTCAGATCTCAGCCTCCTGAGTAGCTAGTATTTAACAGGCAAGAGCCATTGCCACCCATGGCTTCTCATACATTTTAGTAGTTTAAATATCACAAATTTTATTATTGGTAGAAAAAAATACTAACTTTTTTCCATCAAAAGAAGTGATCTGAAAACAGTATCTCCTGTCTTCACAGTCCACAGCCATCACTGAACAGTTGTCTATGTCCATGGCAAGGCCTCCTGCCACATCTCCACGGGCTTGACTCATTAAGTTTCCACCCTGCGTGAAGTAAAACTGTCTATCCCAGGTAGATGACACCAAGCCTGTTTTACTAAATGAAGAAAGTACATTGACACTTTAATAATGACATACCTAAGATTATCTTATCATCAGCCAGACACAAGATAAAGCATGATACAAAGAACTGAGCCATGAAAAAGGCACCAAAATGCCAATAAAATGTAAACATTAAGTTTTTCAGCCTCTATGTATGTTGACTCACATGTGCAAAATGTGTATGCAGTTTCAAAAACAAAGCTGGAAATTATTGAACTACAGTTGTTTTAATGGTACACCATGAACTACAAAGGAGTAAATTCAAAACAAAATAATTTAGTTTATTCCTAAGGCAAAACTGTTTTTACTGTTTGTTTTTAGAGGATAATGGGGCAATGGGGCTTGAACTCTGGGTCTGGGTGCTGTCTCTAAGCTCTTTAGCTCAAGACCAGTACTCTACCTCTTGAGCCACAGCACCACATCCAGTTTCTGGAGGTTTATTGGAGATAAAGAGTTTCACAGACTTTCCTGCACAGGCTGGCTTTGAACCGTGATCCTCAGATCTCAGCCTCCTTAATAACTAGGATTATAGGAGTGAGCAACCGGCATCCGGCAAAACTGTTTTTATCATCAAGTGGAGGATCATGTAGCTCAGTGGTAGAGCATTTGTCCACTAGTATGCACAAAGGCCTGAATTCAATCCCCTACACCATGCAAAAGAAAAGGTAGAAGAAGGAAAAAGAGGGGGAGTAAAGAGGAGAAGCTAGGCTTTCTATAAATAAAAATAAAAATTTCACTTGATATAATTACATGTATTTTAAAGTATATAAATTATATTTAATAACATTTACATGTTACATGATTTTTATATGTGTGTGCTGGTACTAGAGATTGAACTCAGGTACTTATGTTCTCTCTTGGCTTCTTTGCTCAAGGCTGGCTCTCTACTACTTGAGCCAAGTCTCCACTTCTGGCTTTGTACTAGTTAATTAGAAATGAGTCTCACAGACTTTTCTGCTGAGTTGGCTTCAAACCATGATCCTCAGATCTCAACCTCCTGAGTAGCTAGGATTATAGATGTGAGTATCTGGCTACGATAAGATTTATTTAAAGTCAAACTGGTTTTGTTATTTTATAATTCTAAATTATTCAAAAGTTATGGAAGTAGACTTTTCTTTGAAAAGTATGCACATACCTTTTCTCTCTACATGTTCACATAAACAGTAACATCAACTAAAAAGGTTCAATCTTTAGTAAAATCAAAAGTAATTTAGCATACAGTATCAGTTATATTTTACATACATTTGGCATTACCTTAAACGATAAACAATATATAAAAATATCAATACTTTTCTTACTTCCTAGCATTAAGGTATCCAGCCTTTCGGGTTAAATTTCGATTAACAGGAAATTTGGTGGGGTCTGGGTCAGGCACATATAAAGGGTCACTGGCTATTTCCAAGTCCTCTATTGTCTGTTGCATGGTCTCTACATCACTGTCCATTTCCCTGCGAACACTAATATAGAGAACAGATTATTTACTACCAGTCACAATCAATGAAGAATTCCTTACCAACCATGTTATTTGTCTTGTATATATTTTCTTAAAGAGAAAAGCTGTACTATAGGTGATTAAAATAATACAACTATATTGTAAATAACTTTAAATTTGAATGGAAAATTAACAGTTATAAATTAAATGTTTCAATATTTTAGAAATAAAAAATTTAAAAATTAATGAAACCACCCATAATAATGTCTGTATGTAGAATTTTTATACTGTGCTGAATTTTTATACTGATTCAGCCCTGGGTTCAATCCTCAGCATCACAAAAAAAAAAAATTTTTAATTAAAATAGAAAAATTAGTCTCTCTTAGAAAACAAGATTTATCAGTAGGCACCAGTGGCTCATACCTGTAATCCTAGCTACTCAGGAGGAACCTGAGATCTGAGGATCGTGGTTCAAAGCAAGCCCGGGCAAGAAAGTCTGTGACACTCTTGTCTCCAATAAACCACCAGAAAAGGGGAAGTGGTATTGTGGCTTAAGTGGTAGAGCACTAGCCTTGAGCTGAAGAGCTGAGGGACAGCACCCAAGCCCAGGGTATCAACCTCTCAAGCCACTCCCACCATTTAAGAGTTTAGATGATTTCACTTAATTACTATTATTAGTCTGTTTTACTCAGAAATAAAAGCTAGCTCTCAATCATTACAATTGCCATAAGAGAAAATGGCAGTCAAAGTATACACTAGAGGGGAAAAAAGGCAGAAATAAAACAAGAAGCAACATAAAAGAATAAGGATCACCCTGTTGATGGGAAATACTGTCTCAAGATACACAGCAGTAAATTTCTTTAAACCATAGCATTTATCTATTAACTAATTCCTATCATTTCATTTTCAAGGTTAAGGAAAAAATACTTACTTCTGTACACTTGTTCCAATATTAGCTAAAAATTCTTCTAATTGTTCACTGAGATTTTCAGAACCCATCTTAAAGAAACTTATCTGGGATGGAGGAGGAATGGAAGGTTTAACAACGTAAACACAAATGTACACACAAAAAATGTTTAAATTAGAAACACTCTACAATACAAAGTTTTTGTTTTTTTTTAAGAAAGGTATTATTCAATTTGTGTAATGATAGGTTGCAAATCTGCACTATCTACTGGGCATGCAGCCACTGAGAAAACTAGAATTAAATTCCACTTTCCACCCTGACATATTATTTTGTTTGGCTTGCTTTCTGAGTCTTGCCATATAACCCAGGTCACCTCCAATCTGGAACTTCCTAAACTCTGGGATTACTACTGTGTGCCACCATACTTGGCCTATAAATACTCTTATACCTAAAGGAATATTCAAATTTCTCTCAACTCCAGATTTTTAAGGAACTGATGTATTACCCAAAACTCGGTGTTCTGGCCTCCTTCATATGTTTCTTTTTGGTTGCTTGAATTCATCTATCTAACTATCTATAGATATACAGTTGTTGTTGTTTTGTTTGCTTGGGGTTTTTTTGCCAGTCCTGGGGCTTGAACTCAGGACCTAGTACTGTCCCTAAGTTTATTTTGCTCTCAAGGCTAGTACTCTACCACTTGAGCCATAGCGCCACATCTAGCTTTTTCTGTTTATGCAGTACTGAACATCGAACCCAGAGCTTCATGCATGCTAGGCAATCACTTTACCACTAAGCCACATTCACAGCCCTCATCTATATTTTAACTTATAATATACACAGGGAACACGAAACAAATTAAACTTGTTCATTCTCTTTCAGATTTATTATGAAGGAAGAATGAGCTGAGTGCTGGTGACTCATTTAATTGTAATTCTGGTTCAGGAGGCTGAGATCCGAAGGGCCTAGTTCAAAACCACACCAGACAGAAAAGTCCACAAGACTCTCCAGTTAAATAACAAAAAAAAGCCAGAAGTAAAGCGCATGTGGTAGAGCTCAGGCCTTCAGCAAGAAAGGTAAGTATGAACGCCAGGCCCTTTCTGCGTGCCAGTCCCACTCCTGTAACCCTTGCTACTCATGAGGATTTAGGTTCAAAGCCAGCCTGGATAGGAAAGTCTGTGAGACTCTTGTTTCCAATTAACTACTCCACCCACCTAAAAAAAAACAAAACAAAACCTAGAAGTGGAGCTATGGCTCAAGTTGTAGAGTTCCAGCCTTGAGTAAAAAAGCTAAGGATAACACCCAAGGCCTGAGTTCAAGCCCCAGGACAGGCACAAAAAAGAGAGGGAAAAAGTTTCCACAACAAATGTAGCTCTCAAAATCACTTAGCTTTCTATTGTCTATCCCCAACTATAGTAAACAAGGTCTAAATACAATGTATTTATATTTCATTTACTCTAAAACATTTGAAATTTTCATTTACAAAAGAAATCACTTTTATAAACCTTAAAATAATACAATAATAACATTTTTTAAATTACTAATTAAAACCAAGATATAAATGTTTATTGACAAGGCTGTAGTGTCTTTGCATTAACTGTAAATTCAAAGCTTACTCTAAGAGATTTATTTTAAGATGGTTTTAACTCAAAACACAGTACTTACCTGAGCTTGCATATACCCAAGTAGAGGTTCTAACAATGCTATTTTCTTCTTGTATTGAAGAGTATTTAATGCACAAAAATAATGCATCATGGTCTGGTGTTGTTTCTTTCTGGAAGTGTACACATCTTCTGTTACTTCATATTTCATCTTTGAATGAAAAAAATTTAAATACTATTAATTGTTGAATTCTAAAGTCTCTTCACCTGTAGGGAAAAGCCTCCCTAGGAAAATGCCATATCATTAATTTCTGAACATAACAGTCCTGTTTCCTGAGCTATTACAAATCCTTTATTATACTGCTTAAGCTGACTTTCCCATCTAACAACCACATCATCAACAAACTATTTACACACATAACCACAAATATAACTATCTTAACCAAGCATGGCAGAGAAAATCTACCACATGGAAGAAAGGCAAATGTTAGTCTCTGGCCTCAATCAGTCCACAGTATTTTCCACTCCTGGTTCTCTTCCTACTACTCTCCCTCTTTTCTATTTGCTTGTCTTTATTCACTCACACTTGAAATACTTATGCTCTCCTAACTTCTTTCATTCAAACCACCAATTTTCAATGAGCAAAAAATAAGTAATATTCACTAGGCTCTTTTCTTCCTTTCTTCATAATACCTGATTAAGAACCAAGAATATGCCAATACATCAATGATTCAGTAGTGCCAATTTTTTTATCTTCTGCCCCTCATTCTCACAAGTGCCATAGGAAACAGCTGGGTTCTTTATGTATTTCTGTGTATATTGTGTGTTTGTGCATGTGTGATGGAAATGTAGAAAACAGAAGACAGTATCTTCCTCACAAAACCTTGTTCTACTTTTTTTCTTACCTCTTAATTATTCCAGGATCCATCAGTCATTCAAATAATTTTGACTTGTTTTTTATTCCCCTTCTTACTATAAATTTCAATTCTTCTTACAAACTAACTGTCAAAGTATCCCTCTTTAACAATTTTTGCTGAGACTTTCAGGTATCTCTGAAAACTATTTCAGTAACTTTGCATTGGACTGTTTAAGTCTTGGTCTCTTCACATTTTCATTACTGTTGCTCTATAGTAAAACCATATAGTATACTTACCTATTTGGAATCCTTTGGTGTCTGCTAATACTTTCTAATACAAATTTCAAAGTCATCAATATAGTCCCATATTAATTATTGTCATTTCTGCCTTTCACTTCAAACACAGTCTGGGCTGGCTTCAAAGGGTGATCCTCAGATCTCAGCCTCCTGAGCAGTTAGGATTAGAGGACTGAGCACCAGTACCCAGTAAGATAATTAATTTTTTTAATGCCCAATCTCTAATCCCCAAACAGCAGTGTCTACTTATCTCAACCCAATGTCAACTCTTAAAATTATAAGCCTTTCCAACTTACCAAAGTTCTCCCTGTACTCTTGTAATTTTAGTAAAACCTCTATGACTGAATTTAACTCATGGTGATCTAGGCTGCTTCTTCATCCTTTGAAAATGGCCCATAGACCAGTCATATATGTTCACATAAATACCTTCAATAAATGTGGAGAGTCCATATTTTGAGGAGAAAAGCAAAGTCTACTCACTTTCCCCAAGGCCTCCTCCTATGTGATATAGTAAATGCCCAATCAAGTTTTGAAATTAAAATATCTTTCAAGCTAGGCAGTGGTGGTTCACACCTATAATCCTAGCTACTGAGGAGACTAAGATCTGAGGATTGAAGTTCAAAGCAAGGAAGTCCCTGAGACCCTTACCTCCAATAAACTACTTAGAAAAAGACAAAAGTGGTGCTATGGCTCAAATGGTAGAGCACTATCCTTGAGCAAAAGACACTGAAGGAAGCTGAAGGATAGCACCCAGGCCCAGAGTTCAGGCCCCAGGACACACACACACGCACGCACGCACGCACGCACGCACGCACGCACGCACGCACGCACGCACCTGTCAAAAGCTAGATGCTGGTAGCTCACGCCTATAATCCTCACTACTCGGGAGGCTAAGATCTCAAAGCCAGCCCGGGCAGGAAAGTCTTTGACACTCTTAGCTCCAATTAATCGCACAAAAAAAGCTGGAAGTGGTGCTGTGGTTCAAATACAAATCTGTCAAAGAATTTTTTTTAATTCTTGCAACAGTCAGAAGCAAACCTAGAGCCTAAACATTTCTATATGACAACATAACTATTGTAAATCTTAAAATACATGGATTTTACCTGTATTTGAATCACCAAATTCAACAACTAAAATCTGAACTTGTGCCAGGTGCTGGTGATTCATGTCTATACTTCTAGCTGCTCAGGAGACTGAGATTTAAGGATCAAAGTTCCAAGCCAGTCATAAGACTATTTCCAATTAACCAGCAAAAAGCTGGAAGTGGAGCTGTAACTCAAGTGATAAGAATGCTATAACTTGAGCAAAAAAGCTCAAGGACAGCACGTGGGCCCTAAGTTCAAGTCCCATGACCACAAAAAAAAAAACTGAACTGGAAAGATTTGTGGACTGAACTTTGTATGAGAAACATTATCTGTGTTGTCTTAGCTGGTATGGCACAGTACACCATACTCAATCACGGATTATCACAAGCAGTCATTGTATCTCCTCCAGCAGCTATAGTAGCAATAAATACCAAGTCTGAGGTAGAGATGTTCTCAATTTCAAGCATGTAGAAATGCCTACATGTTCAAACCTTAGATTAGGCATTAGAGAAAGGACTGGTCTTAAAGAGCACCCAGAAAAATTTGTCAATATTCTCTCTCATCTTTACTTAAATGCTTTCTTCTTCGTATATACAGTATACTATTTCTGAGTTTGCTGCCTTAGAATCAAAAGCAAATAGTCCCTGTAAATGAAGGCTTAATAACAGGATGTCATTAAGTTATGTGTACAACAGTTCAACTTCTTGACTATTGAGTCTCACAAGACATTTCTCAGTACTTATATAGGTCAAATAAAAACAGAACATGTGCTGTGCTATAAAAATACAAAGCAAAAGAAGCAGTGTTACTTCTGGACATCAACTATAATTTTAGAGTAGTTATGTTTAATCATAACCTATTCAATTTTGGCAGAATAAAAGTATTTTGTTTAAAGTGACCAACAATTATCAGAAAACTTCTAAACATCTAGCAGAAAAGAATTATCTAAAAGAAAAACATATAAATTAGCTTTTGGATTTATTTTTAAACAGGAAAACTAAACCACCTAATAAAATAACAATTAATTGTGATACTGAAGGAGTAGGTATGTATCACACCTTGTCATTTTCTCTTTTTTTGGACAATCGGCTATATCTGTTAATTGCAGCATCATGATCTGGAAGGCAGAAATGAGTGTTAACAATTGTAGCACTTGGCAAAACTTACAAATGCTTTAAAGGGTTTTTACATATTCATCTTTCTACAAATGTACAATAGAAAAGTTAGGTATTCCCTATCCTGTGATCTCTGTATTCAAATTATTCCCACAGCCTAAATTATGTGTCTATTTACTCAAACTCATAAAAAGAGGGGAAAAAAAGAATCTGAAAAACTATAACTAATTTTTTTTTTTTTTGGGTCCGGTCGTGGGGCCTGAACTCTGGGCCTGGACACTGTCCCTCAGCTCTTCTGCTCAAGGCTAGCGCTCTACCACTTGAGCCACAGCGCCACTTCCGGCTTTTTTCTTTTTGCTTATGTGGTGCTGAGGAATCGAACCCAGGGCCTCAGGCATGCAAGGCGCTCTACCACTGAGCCACCTTCCCAGCCCTACTATAACTAATTTTTAACTTATTTTTAGTCTGCAGGCAATGATGGCTAACACCTATAACCCTAGCTACTCAGGAGGCTGAGATCTGAGAATCACCATGCAAAAGCAGAAAAGTCTATGACACCCTTGTGTCTCCAGTTAACCAATTAAAAGCTAGAAGTAGAGCTATGGCTCAAGTGGTAGAACATCAGTCTTGAACAGAAAAGCCAGAGAGCAAGACCCTGAGTTAAAGACTAAGTACTGGTAAGATATAGACACATATGGTCTGTCTTTAAAAAAGCAAATGTTCATAAAAGAAAAATAGGAAGGGCCGTGAGCTCAGAGGTAGATCATTTGCCTAGAATGCATTAGACCCTGAATTGAAGCCCCAGAACCACCAGAGAGAGAGAAAGGTAGAGGGAGAAGGAGAGGGTGAGGGAGAGGGAGAAGGAGAGGGAGAGGGAGGAAGGGAGGGAGGGAGGGAGGGAGGGAGGGAGGGAGGGAGGGAGGTAGAAAGATGAAATATTTAGAAAAACAAGGTAAAATACTATAACACCTCCTTAGAAATTATGAAGATAGTAAATTATAAGACTGATATAGCTATCTTTAAATTTTTTCTTGTAAACTGCTATTCAAGTAACAACACTGATTTAAATAATATTCACTAAAACTTTTAATTAGATCCTTTTTAATAATTATTGCAAAGAATCACCAATGATGTACACTAACAAATGCACCACACAAAAAAATAGTGTAAAGTATTCAAAGCTTACCGTTACTAGCAATCTGAAACACTTCTTTTAAAGTCAATATTTCTGAAAAAGTTCCAAAAATAATTTCAGTTTAGTGTATGTGTAAAGTATCTTAAGTCTGTTTATAAAGCCATCAATGTCATGTAAACAAAACTCTAAAGAACAGTTTGCACTTCTATATTCAAGGCAAAAAGTTACTGTTTCTGTTAGTACATGGAAGATTTACTATCATTAGCAACAAATCACAAGAAAATCTACTTATTACAAATTATTAATATGACTCACACGTCTTAAGCTCCATTATAAGCGTTAAGATATGCAAATATTCTGACTACCAGAATCTAGTAATTCATTTTTTGATGATTGTAATAACAAAGTAAATATTTACACTATGCAATCCTAGTCTTAAAACTGTGAAAAAAAAAAACTATTCTTTCTTAACTTTAGAAACGATAGCTCTTGAAGATCATCACAATTATTAACTCCAACTTTAAACTACAATTGTCTTTATTGTATGTGTAATTTAAATACTTTAACAACTCACTTATATGCTACTTCAATGCTTTTATACTATAGATACTGAAAAGTCTGTATGACTAAGTTTATAAAATATGAGAAATAAATCAAGTATATGAAAGTTTCATTTTATCAGCTAGTAACCCTACATGCGCCAAAAAAATGTACAAAACTGCTAAGTCATAGACTGTTAGATATACGAGTATCCCTACCCTCCTGCCACTCTAGCTCATATTAGTGTCTACTTGGTCACTATCCTAGTTTAAACCTTGGTAATACCTCACTGAACTCTCATAACTTCCTACACCAATCTTCTAGACATCAAATCCACTCTATTCTACCCACCAAAAGATTTTGTCTCTTTACTTCTTATAGACCGTCATTGTATTGTCTTTGAAAATAAATACAAGTCCAACACCTTTAGCTTCATTTAATATATTTCTAAATTAATCTCCTGCCTCACCCCAACATATTCAACACTGCAGCCTCACTAAATTTCTTGTAATTCCAAAAGTAAGTTATGAATCTCTACAATCCATACCTCCATGCATTCTAGTCTCCCTAATTGCTCTTTATAGTTCAATGTTCGTATCATATCTTTGGTGAAGCCTTTTTGACCTTCTAAGCCCCTACAGCACCTTCTCATTCCCTGATTATAAGACAGAGTGTCAGAATTATGTGTTGACTCATGCCCTTCTCTACCATTCCTCAAGGGAAGATCTAGTTCAGTAATGATCTGGTGCTATGAATGTTGGTGACTGATTAAAAGTGGTACAGGTTATAGTCAAAATAGTTTGAACATGAATATGTGAAAGCTGATGAAAGTAAATATGAGTGTGACTTCAGTACCTTTCAGATCTCTTTCTTTAAACTGGGTAATGGGGAACATCATGGCATCAGCAAGTTGAGTTGAAAGTACTGCATGACAAGAGCTAAGCTAGTAAAAAAAAGACCAAAAAGGTGAAATAACAGATAACATTTGTAACAAATGGCTATACAGAGGCATCTAACCAATGTTATATAAATTAGACAGGATCTAGCTTAAAAAGAAAACAATCATATCACTATGAATTATATAGCTGAAAATATTACACAGTCAAAAAAACCATTTAAAACTCTCAAAAGAACACAAGATGACCCTGGATGTGGAAATAATTTCTTAGATATGATACCGAAAAAGTGCAAGAAAAATAAAAAAAGTGTAAATTACACCATGAAAATTAGAAATTTCTGTGCATTAAAAGACAGCAACAATAAAGTGAAAGAAAGCAGAGCATGATGTACATGCCTGTAATCCAGCACTAAAGAGGTAAAGAGGTAGGCCAGGCACCTCTGGCTCACACCTGTAATCCAAGCTACTCTGGGGGCTGAGAGATGAGGATCATAGTTCAAAGCCATCCAGGGCAGGAAAGTCCGTGAGACTCTTATCTCCAATAAACCAACAGAAAACTGGAAGTGGCGCTGTGGCTCAGGTGGCAGAGCACACTCCTTGAGCTGAAGAGCTGAGGGACAGCACCCAGAAGCAGAGTTCAAGCCCCACAACCAACCAAAAACAAAACAAAACAATAGGTAAAGGCAGAAACAGTCTGAGTTCAAAGATAGCCTGGGCTACATACTGAGACCTTGTCTTAAAAAAAAAAAAAATCAAAAAATTTTAAAAGGAAAAGAAAATAAAAAGATAATCTATGCAATGAGAAAATACCAATTACATGCTGATAACAAATGTTTATCTTGGGGCTGGGAATGTGGTTTAGTGGTAGAGTGTTTGCCTAGCAATCATGAAGCCCTGTGTTTGAATCCTTAGTACCACATAAACAGGAAAAGCTGGAAGTGGTGCTGTGGTTCAAGTGATAGAACACTTGCCTTGAGCAGAGAGAAGCTCCAGTGTGTAGGCCCTGAGTTCAAGCCCCAGGACCGGCAAAGAAAGAAAGAAAGAAATGTGTATCTAGAATAAATCAATAATAAAAAGGTAAACTACTTAATTTAAAAATTGCAGGGCTGCTGGGCACTGGTGGCTCACACCTGTAATCCTAGCTACTCAGGAGACTGAGATCTGAGGATCACAGTTCAAAGCCAGCACAGGCAGGAAAGACTGTGAGACTCCTATCTCCAATAACCACCAGAAAACCGGAAGTGGTGCTGTAGCTCAAGTGGTAGAGCACTCGCCTTGAGCTGAAGAGCTGAGGGACAGCACCCAGGCCCAGAGTTCAAGCCCCATGACCGACCCAAAAAAAAAAATTGCAGGGCTGGGAAGGTGGCTCAGTGGTAAAGCGCTTGCCTTGCATGCATGAGGCCATGGGTTCGATTCTTCAGCACCACATAAGCAAAAAAGAAAAAAAAAATGGAAGTGGCGCTGTGGCTCCAGTGGTAGAGCGCTAGCCTTGATCTGAAGAGCTGAGGAATAGCATCCAGGCCCAGAGTTCAGGCCCCACGACCGGACCAAAAAAAAAAAAAACTGCAAAGGATCTGAACAGATACTTTTCCAAAAATAAACAAATGACTAATAACCACATAGAATATCATTAGCTATCAAGGAAATGCAAATCAAAATGACAAGATACCACTTCATACCTATTCAGAGGGCTTATAATAAATGAAAACACAACTGTTTGACTATTGGCAAGGAAAAGGCAGCAACATCTTACATTGCCAATAGGAATACAAGACAATGCAGGCTCTGTACAATCAAAACTTTAAAACAAAATTGCCATATAACCAAGGTCCTATTCCTGGGTATATAAAAACAAAATTGCATATTAATGATAATCTATTCACACTACCTAAAGGAGGAAACAACCCAAATACCTACAATGAATGGATAAATGTGGTATTTCTCTATAGTTAAAAAAAAAAAAAAAATGAAGTGCTGACACATTACAATTAGGATAAACCTAAATATTAAAAGAAGCAGTCACAAAAGTCCACAAATTGCATTGGGCCCTTTATGTGAAACATTCAAAACACAAAGACAGAAGTAGATTAGTGGCTGCCAAAGACTGGGGAAAGAAGGGAAAGAAAGTAACTTTAATGGGCAGAAGTTTTCCTTTGGGATGATGAAAATGGTCTGGAACTACATCGTTTGTGACAGTAGCACAACACTGTAAATGTACTAAATGTCATATATGCCAAATTTTATTTGTATTTCACCATGACTTTTAAAGGGAAACAATATCCCATCTCCTATATATATTATCTTTTGTATTGATCTCCTAGGATATTGGTCTATAATGAGTTGTTAAAATATTTGAAAAATTAGGTCAGCAGTATAGACTAGTGATAGAGAATTACTTGCCTAGCATGTGCAAGGCCCTGGGATTGCTCTCCAACATTCAAAATGTGTGTGCATGCGTATATCTTTTCCAGGTAAAAAGACAAGGAAAAAAACAACCAAAAAAAGGTTTTTACTGTAACAGTAAAGGACTCTCCACATCTTTCACAACCTTTCTTCTTTTTTTTTTGTTTTTTTTGGGGGGGTCCGGTCGTGGTGGGCCTGGGCGCTGTCCCTCAGCTCTTCAACTCAAGGCTAGCGATCTACCACTTGAGCCACAGCGCCACTTCTGGCTTTTTTCTTTTTGCTAATGTGGTACTGAGGAATCAAGCCCAGGGACTCATGCATGCAAGGCAAGCACTCTACCACTGGGCCACCTTCCCAGCCCCATAACCTTTCTTCTTTAAAACTCCTTCTAGGTAGGTTTGTTTTGATGACTGGTCTGAAAAATTAAGCATTGATTTTGGCTGTTTTGGATGGGAGGATTAATAAGGACTAAAGAGTAAAATGTTGCTAGATGGTGGTATAGGAAAAATCACAAGGGGCCTAATTAAAGCTTACAGCTTCTTTTTTCCCTGAAGATACCAAGTAACACAATGACAAGACTAAATGGAGTAGTAGTACAATTAGTTTTAATCAGATAAAAAGAAGTACTGAGGGCTGGGAAGGTCACTCAGTGGTAGAGCACTTGCCTTGCATGCATGAGGCCCTGGGTTCGACTCCTCAGCACCACAAAAGCAGAAAAAAAAAGCTGGAAGTGGTACTGTGGCTCAAGTGGTAGAGCGCTAGCCTTGAGGTGAAGAGCTGAGGGACAGCGCCCAGGCCCAGAGTACAGGCCTCACCACCGGACCAAAAAAAAAAAAGTACTGCTTTATGTGACAGCCACTAAGATATGTAAATAAATTCTTTCGTAATCTTTGTAACATAACCATAGTCATATAATTACCATAATAAAAATTCCAGTCATGGGCTGGGAATGTGGCTTAGTAGTAGAGTGTTTGCCTAATGTGCATGAAGCCCTGGGTTCAATTCCTCAGTACCACATAAACAGAAAAAGCCAGAAGTGGCACTGTGACTCAAGTGCTAGCCTTGAGCAAAAGAAGCTCAGGGATAGTGCCCAGGCAGGAAAAAAAAAATTCCAGTCAGGCACCAGTAATCCTAGCTACTTAGGAGGCTGAGATCTGAGGATTACGGTTCAAAGCCAGCCCAGGCAAGAAAGTTCATGAGACTCTTATCCCCAATTAACTGCCAGAAAACCAGAAATAGAGCTGTGGCTCAAATTGGTAAAGCGCTAGCCTTGAGAAAAAGAGGTCAGGGACATTGCCAGGTTCTGAGCTCAAACCCCACAGCCAACAACAACAATAAAAAAAAATCCAAGTAAAAACTGAATAGTTTAATTACAAAACCACGTATTTGGCTGCTAGTGACTCATAACTATAATCCTAGCTACTCAGGAGGTTGAGATTGTGGTTCAAAGCCAGCCCAAACAAACAAATCTGAGAGACTTTTATCTCTAATCAATCAGAAAAAGCCAGAAGTAGAGATGTAGCTCAAGTGGTAGAGTGCCAGCACTAAAATAAAATAGTTAAATAAAATAAATAAACCTTATTCAAGCAAAATAAGCACTTACTTCATCTATAACTTTTGAAAACTGTTGTAAAGTAGATGTCATAACTTCATCATCGCCTCCCAATGGAAAACGCTGAAAAGTGTAAAACAGAGATAAGGTAAAGGGTCAATACTATACATTCCTATGTGTGTGAAGGACATCAATTTGTATTTTTAAGTAATTTGAGAACTTCTATAATTCTAAATAAGCTCCAAAAAAGCCATTTTCAGAGTAACTTTCATAATTAATAGACATAAGAAAAATATTTCCTAAGTAAACAATTAACATAATATGCTAGAATGTACAACTGAACATTCAGTTATGAAGTCCTTTTAACTACTAACCTAGAACCTTAAGCAAGACTCAGTTTTTTCATTTGTAAAAAGAAAAACTATCTAAGCTCTGTATCTAGTTAATATACCAAACATTAAATCACTAACTAAAATTATCTCAAACTAAGGGCTATAGTGGAATTGCAAAGATATATTCTATGAATTCAAGAAAGTTTAGCTGGATGCACAAACCCATGCCTATAACCTCAACTACTTGGGAGGTAAGACTGTGGTTCAAGTACAAACCAAGCAAAAAGTTAGCAAGGCCTCATCACCACCAACAAGCCAGAAATGGTAATATGTGCCTGTAAAACCTGGAAGACCATAGATCGAAGATTATAGTTCAAGGCTACCAAAGACCAAAAATAAGACTAAAAATTAAAAAAAAAAATACAGTCAAAAGAAAAAAGGGCTAGAAATGTGGCTCAAGTGGTAGAAAACAAGCACAAGGCCCTAAGTTCAAATTCACCCAATACCATACAAAAAAAAAAAAAAAAAAGGACAAGTGTGGTGGCAACATGCTAATAATCTTAACTCTCAGCGGGGTGGTAAAATCAGGGCCTACAGCAAGGCCCTGCCTCAAAAAAGCAAAAGAAAGTTTAAGGATTCCTGGTAAGAAAATCTATCACTTTCTCTAATAACAACAGATGCTGGAGGGGATGTGGACAGAAGGGAACTCTACTGCATTGTTGATGGGACTGTAAACTTGTTCAACCACTGTGGAAAGTAGTATGGAGATTCCTCAAAAGACTCCACATAGAGCTCCCCTATGACCCAGCAATCCCACTTTTGGGCATTTACCCAAATGATCACAAACAAGACCATACTAAAGCTACCAGCACAACTATGTTTATTGCAGCATTATTTACCAGAGCTAAGATATGGAACCAACCCAGATGCCCTTCAGTAGATAAATGGACCAAGAAAATGTGGTATATCTACACAATGGAATTCTATGCTTCCATCAGAAAGAATGACATTGCCCCATTTGTTAGGAAATGGAAAAACTTGGAAAAAATTCTATTAAGTGAAGTAAGCCAGGCCACAAGAAACATAGGTCCCATGGTTTCCCTTATTTGCAATAACTAGTATACTAGTATATAACTGAGACAAGCAGGAAAGGTCAGATAAGATGATGTTAAGCGAAATAAACCCCAAGATAAGGACACAAGTGGTTTTTTCTTTCTTGCTATTATTTCTAACATATTTATAAGGCACCACGTGATTTTGTTGTTGTTGTTTTGTATGTCCCTCCACCACGCCTTAACCTCTGTTTTCACTGTATTTGATGTTGGTATAATTTGAGGAGGGGAAGGGAAATAACAAATTGTTTAAATAGGAACACAGGTTGACCCACTGCAACAATAAGATGTACAAGATGCTACGTTGAAAAATGAACTTTACAATTTAGGCAGGGGGGTGGCGGGGGATGTAGTTGTGGAGATGGGAGAAAAGGGATGGTAGGGGGAAAACAAAGGAGGAGGCAACAATGCTTGATAGAAATGTACTCATCACCTTGCTCATGTGATTGTAACCCCTCTGTACAGTATTTTCACAATAAAAAACTTATTTAAAAAAAAAATCTATCATCTTCTTTTCTTTCTTTTTTTGCCTGTCCTGAGGCTTGAACTTAGGGCCTGGGCACTGTCCCTGAGCTTCTTTTGCTCAAGGCTAGCACTCTACCAGTTAAACCATAGCACCACTTCTGACCTTTTCTATTTATGTGCTACTGAGGAATTGAACCCAGGACTTCATGCATGCTAGGCAAGTCTTCTACCAATAAGCCACATTTCTAGCCAAATCTGTAACTTTCTATATCATTATGTTAAATTGTGCTTTTAAAACTTTGATATACAATACCTGTTTTTCATATTCTTTTAAAAGTTTTGAAGTCAGATGTGTTGCTGCACTTAACTCATTCTAAAAAAAAAACATAGCAATCAAATTAGCATAATATTATTGATTAGGAAAAGACACCTAGGCTACTTTTACCTATTAGCACGTAACATAAATGTTCAACAAATTTTTGAAAACTCTCATTAAAAAAGAACTGAAACCCAAACACTGTCAAGAAATTCAACAGGTATGTGCTCTTTCCTTGTCTCTTTTGACTAATAAAAAGTAATCATTAGAGCCGGGCGCTGGTGGCTCACGCCTGTAATCCTAGCTACTCAGGAGGCTGAGATCTGAGGATTGCGGTTCAAAGCCAGCCCGGGCAGGAGAGACCGTGAGACTCCTATCTCCAATAAACCACCAGAAAACCGGAAGTAGCGCTGTAGCTCAAGTGGTAGAGCGCTCGCCTTGAGCTGAAGAGCTGAGGGACAGAGCCCAGGCCCAGAGTTCAAGCCCCACAACTGACAAAAAAAAAAAAAAAAAGTAATCATTAGCTAGGCACCTGTGGCTCACACTTATAATTCTAGCTACACAGGAGGCTGAGATCTAAGGAAACTAATTCCAAGCCAGCCCAGGGAGAGATTCTTATCTCCAATATGATTGTAAGAGAAATTCTTATCTCCAATAAATTACCAAAAACAAACAGAAAAAAAAAGTGAAGCTGTGGCTCAAGTGGTAGAGAGCTAGCTTTTAGCAAAAAAAAAAAGCCTGAGAACAGCACCAAGGCCCTAAGTTCAAGCCCCAGCACAGGCACAAAAAAAAAAAAAAAAAAAGCTGGAGCTGTACATAATTGCATATAACCTTAACAAAATCTTGAGAGATTCACAAAATCTTGAGAGACTCTACATTCATGACCCATTATTGTCTCTAGGGGCTGATACCAGATTATAAGAATTTAGTATCAGGGCTGGGAAGATGGCTCAGTGGTAGAGTGCTTGCTTTGCATGCATGAGGCCCTGGGTTCAATTCCTCAGTACCACATAAGCAGAATAAGTTGGAAGCAGCTCTGTGACTCAAGTGGTAGAGCACTAGCCTTGAGTTGAAGAGCTGAGGAGCAGTGCCCAGGCCCAGAATTCAGGCCCCACAACCAACAACAACAAAAAAAGAATTTAGTATCAGATATAGCTAAAATTAAAAAAAAAAAAAATGGGCTGGGAAGGTGGCTCAGTGGTAGAGTACTTGCCTTGCATGCATGAGGCCCTGGGTTCCATTCCTCAGCACCACATAAGCAGAAAAAGCCGGCAGTGGCGCTGTGGCTCAAGTGGTAGAGCGCTAGCTAGCCTTGAGCTGAAGAGCTGAGGGACAGCGCCCAGGCCCAGAGTTCAGGCCCCACAACCGGCAAAAAAAAAAAAAAGAAATAGAAAACTGCTACTTATTAACTGAATATTTGTGTTCAGAAATCAAATGCTGAGAGGGGGGAAAAAGTTATACAACTTTCATATAGGTATGAAAATGTAACTAAGGAAGAGAATGGGGGAAAAAAAGAAAATGTATATACTTAATCCCAGAGTAAATACATCACAGAATTCAAATTGCTGTCAAAGCTTAAATTATACAAGGCTAGGCATGGTAAGGCATGCCTGAAATTCCAGTTTAACAGGAGGCATAGGTAGCAAGATCATAGTCTAAGTCTAAGGGCAGCTCTGAGAAAACAATTAGTCACTATCTGAAAATAACCTAAAAAAAAAGAAGTAGAAGCATGATTCAAATGGCTGACAGCCTGCCTCACAAACTCAAGACCCTGAGTTCAAACTCCAGTTGTAACTCAACTCCTATGACAAAATCTAGTCTTAAAGCCTTCTTAAATTCATCTGTGTACCTCAGAGCTATATCTAATTTTTATTACCATCTAATAACTAAACAGAAATCCTCTACTCAAGAAGGAGACAACCCTATCCCACTGTAATCCTAGCTACTCTGGAGGCTGAGATGTGAGGATTCCAGCCATGGGGCTTGAACTCTGGGCCTGGGCACTGTCCCTGAGCTCTTCACCTCAAGGCTAGTGCTGTACCACTTGAGCCACAGTGCCACTTCTGGTTTTCTGGTGGTTAATTGGAGATAAGAGTGCCATGGACTTTCCTGCCCCGGCTGGCTTTGAACTGTGATCCCCAGATCTCAGGCTCCTGAGTAGCTAGGATCACAGGCGTGAGCCCCAGCACCCAGCTGGGATTTCATTTTTTTTTTTTTAAATAAGAAAGCCCTTTCTGTATTTGGATAGAAGGGATGGATATTTCAATGCTATCCTTTTCATAGTGCTACAAACTGTACATCAGTAATTTAATGTAAGCTTTGTAGTACAATATACTCAATATTCATTGACCTTTTCAACAAAAACACTATGAGCCCAGGACAGGGATAGGCACCAGTAAATTAGATAAGACATTATCTTGGTCCTCAAGTCCTTAAAGATTCATTATTTAAATAACATGTTTAGCTCAGCATCCGTGGCTCACACCTGTAATCCTAGTAACTCAGGAGTCTGAGATCTGAGTATTGTAGTTCAAAGCTAGCTGGAATATAAAAAGCACGTGTGACTCTTATCTCTTACCACCAAAACGGCAAAGTTAAGCTATAGCTCAAGTGGTGAGCACCACCCTTGAGAGAAAAAAAACTAAGGTACAGTGGCCAAGCCCTGAATTCAAGCCCGAGTACTATCCATAAATAAAGAAAGGCCTTGACATTTTACCTGTGCATCATAAATCCGATGCATAGCTTGATACAATTGGTTCATATAGTTGGAAATGGCTGTGGCATCTTCTTCAAATACACCCAGTAAAGATCTTGTCTGTATAAAATGAGTAAGTTCATGTTAATCATTACATAAATCAGATGAAAAACTTTCATAAAGGAAGTTAAAATCCCAAGATAATAGAACTCTAGTAATTCTGACTCTACACCTTTTTTTTTAATTCATTTGTTATTATAAAGATGATATACAGAAGTGTAACAGTAAATCAGATAAAGAGTACATTTCTTTTTGGACAATGCACCCCTTCCCTAGCTCTCCCCTAGTTTCTCCCTCCCCTCCCCACCTACAACTTGTATAGTTCATTTCAACATAGTGTCACTGCTGTATTTTAAACCTATTTTTTACATTAATGTCAAAAAATCAGAGTTTTTTGTTCTCAGTTTCACTTCATCCAAGAACTATTTTCCAAAAATCATAGTAAGTAAGCCAGACCCAAAGAAATATAGGTCCCATGGTTTCCCTTATTTGCAATAAATAGTATATATCTAGGATACTCTTATCAGATGAACAGAAAAGCTCAAAAGCTATGTACATATGACCATATAAGATAACACAAAGCAAAATGAACCCCAAGATATGGACACAGGTTTTTCTTTGATGCTGTTCTTAATGTACTATGTGATTTTCTTTTGTTTCTTTTGAATGTTCTTCCCCCTATGGTATATCCCCTGTTGTCGTTGTATTTTATTTTGGTACCCTGCATTTTGTATATACATTTATTTAATTTGGGCAGGGGAAGGAGAATAACAAAATGCTGACAATGGAATAGAAGATCCAGAAATAAAACCACATGCCTACAGTCAGCTGACATTCAACAAAGGAGCCAAAGACATACAGTGGAAGAAGCACAGCCTCTTCAACCGATGGTGCTGGGAAAACTGGGCAGCCACATGCAGAAAACTAAAAGTGGACCACAGCCTATCACCATGTACCAACATCAACTCAAAATGGATTAAAGACCTCAACATCAAAACTGAATCTCTGAAACTACTGCAGGACAGAGTAAGAGAGACATTTGAACTTATAGGCACAGGCAGGAACTTCCTGAACAGAGTCCCAGGGTCACAACAAATTGGAGAGAGACTTGACAAATGGGACTACCTTAAAAAAAAAAGTTTCTGCACAGCTAAAGCTATAGCAACCAAGCTAGAAAGACAACCAACTAACTGGAAAAAAATATTTACCAGCAATATATGAGACAAGGGGTTAATATCCAGTATATACAAGGAACTCAAGAACTCCCTCCCAAACCTAACAAACCAATTACTAAATGGGCAAGGGAACTAAAGAGAGACTTCTCAGAAGAAGAGATAAAAATGGCAAAGAAACACATGAGGAAATGTTCATCAACCCTGGTTGTGAAGGAAATGCAAATAAATACAACCCTGAGATACCACCTTACCCCAGTCAGAATGTCCCACATACTCAAGTCAGTCAACGACAAATGCTGGAGGGGATGTGGAGAAAGAGGAACACTATTACACTGCTGGTGGGAATGTACACTTATACAACCACTTTGGAAAGCAGTCTGGAGGGTCCTCAGAAAGCTAAATATTGACCTCCCTTATGACCCAGTCATACCACTTCTAGACATCTACCCTGAACAACAAGAACCAGTATACAAGGACACATGCACCTCCATGTTTATTGCAGCACTGTTCACAATAGCTAGGATATGGAACAAACCCAGATGTCCCACCACAGATGAATGGATCCAAAAATTGTAGTATCTATACACAATGGAATATTATGCAGCCATTAGAAATGACAAAATAATGGCATTTGCAGGGAAATGGATGGAGCTAGAAGGAGTCATGCTGAGTGAGGTAAGCCAAGAGCAAAGAGACAAACGGTACATAGTCTCCCTGATAAGTGAATGTTAAATACAAAATGTAAGGTGATATGACAAACTTAACAAGACTTAAGAAACAAAGGACTTCCACTCATCTGGTCAAATCACTACTAAATAACCCCATGCTGCTGATGACATATATTGTATATATGTGCACATTGGAGGGAAACCAGGAGGGAGACACAGAACTAGAGGGAATCAGGGGAAAACATGTAACAGCGGGACCCATCAGCTGCACTGGACATTGACCAAGATGAACTAAGCAACTCAATGGCAGCGATGGGAGGGAGGGAACAAGTGGGAAAGAGGGAACAGCTGATGCTATGCAAAACAAAAGAAATGTACATACCACCCAATGTGGAAGAAATAACTGTATTGCAAAGCTCATAGAACTCATAAATGTTATAGACCATGACAGACAATATGCCCCATGAAAGTTAGAATGTGTTTGTGACTTTAAGCATCACTATCCCACAATACTGTGAAACTGGGGAAATTATGTAACCACTTAATCACAATAAAGAATATAAAAAAAAAGGACACAGGTTGACCCATTGCAACAATGACATTCACAAGACACTGTTGGAAATGAAATTCATAACTTGTAGGTAAGGGGAAGAAGTGGGGGAGGGAAGGGATAGTAGGAGAAAAACCAAAAGGGGGTAACAATGCTTGACAAGAAATGTACTCATTACCTTACTCTTATAACTGTAACCCCTCTGTACAGCATCTTTACAATATAAGAAACAACAAAGATGTGTTTGTATGAATTAGAAATTCTGAATTAAATTTAAAACAAACCAGAACAGTCAAAACTTAGGGTTTAATCCTCAGCATTGGGGGGGGGGGGGGGCTGGATAAAATTAAAACAGTATTCTATGTATAGATATTTAAATGTCTTATTTCAGAGTAATTCAGTATGGTTATTTCTCTTGTTCTGTGATTTCTTCTACTAGGACCAAATCTCTTCCTATCTTAATCTAAAATAATGTCACAGTACAACTCCCCAACATGTGACTTATCAGTCTATAAAATGCTAACTAGGTTTCTCCAAATAAAGAATCTATGTTCTTTTTTATATATTTCTATACTGTTTATATTCTTTTTTTCCACAATGAACATATAAAAACTGATCCATAAGACATAAAAAAACTGTACCTGATAAGGATGTCAACAGAAAGTATCCAAGATAACAAAACACATTATCAAAAGCAAGGTGTGCTCACCATTTTATATTCCAAAGGCAGATAAGAACTAAGGTATCAACAAACAATGAGAGCTGGCACCAGTGGCTCACACCTATAATCCTAGCTACTCAGGAGGCTGAGATCTGAGGACTGCAGTTCAAAGACAGCCCAAGGAAGGAAAGTACGTGAGACTCTTATCTCAAATACACAACCAGAAAACTGGAAGTGGCACTGTGGCTCAACTGGTAGAGCACTCACATTGAATTAAAGAGCTCATGGACAGTGCCCAGGCCGAGTTCAAGCCCATCGACCAACAAAAAAAAAAAAAAAAAAGCAATGAGATCACTGAAGCTTAAAATCTAAAGAATAACCTCTTTTTATTTTTTCCCTAGCATCCTGTGCTCAGTAGAGGAAAGTACATCAAAATAGTATAAAGAGGAGAAAATGACACAAGATAATTATGCCATTAATGAAGTCCATATTCTCAGTCCACTACTTAAATATCTGATATTTGGAATTGATAATCAGAAAGAACCGAACAAACAAAAAAGAAAGCCTTTTTTGGGGGGAAAGGGGGATATGTTGTTATGGTGCTCAGACTTGGATTCCTCCTCCTGAAACCAAGCTCAATCATGCTATCTCAGCAAGTAGCTAAGACTACAGGGATGCCACACCTGGCTTAATTTGATGTTTCCATTCTAATACTTCACTTCCACTTCCCAGAGTATTATTTTAAATGTTTAAAAAAAAAAAAAAAGCATCAGGAATCTCTACTTTGGTAATTGCCATTCTAAAGAAAAACTTGCCACTTGGTTGCATTCTTTTTCTCCAAAAACAGGCAATTCAATTCCAATTCAAGGATATACATGTTGTATATTTAAGCTAAAAAGTTCTTATCTTCAAAACAGGGCTGACATCAGTCTCTTTTTTTGTTTGTTTGTTTGTGGTTCTGAGGATTGAACTTGCACGCAGTAGTCAAATGTTCTTTTTTTTTTTTTTGTCGGTCGTGGGGCTTGAACTCTGGGCCTGAGCGCTGTCCCTCAGCTCTTCAGCTCAAGGCGAGCACTCTACCACTTGAGCTACAGCGCCACTTCCAGTAGTCAAATGTTCTACCACTAAGCATACCCACAGTCTAGGTTCTGCACTTAAAGCAAATGAGTATCAAATTCAATACTGCATAATTACTGTTTATTTGCAGCTAATGAAAGGAGAATCAATATGGTACAAATTTATTAAATCTTTGATAACCTTTAGCAGACATACCATTTTTCTATACTACTAAAACAAAATAACCCTGGCAATTAAGCAATGACTTAAGGTTTTCTTATGTCTCAATATTTGATTTTACAGACAGACCTTCCAGTAGAATTTTATTATACATGGCTCTGACATAAACATAAAAAGAGTATGTAAGTAGTACAAACATACACCTAAAACTTCTTCACATTAAAGAGTTCAACTCATGAATCTTTCCAATTCAGTCATCAATAACAATTTTTTCCTCATACATTATTAGACTCTATACCATGGGAAGTTGACAAGCCTTTCTCAAACTATTTTATTTTAGACTCTTCTAATTTTCTTCCAAAGCTTGGACATTTGCTCATCAAGTTCTGATGGCAGTATGTGCTTTCAAAGTAGAAAAAAGAAGATTTTCAAGCAAATGACACTTTGTAAAGAATTTGTTGGCTTAACAGAAAGGTTTCATTTAGCCACTTCCAAGTAGAAAAAACAACCAAGTGTACACACTGTAGAAAGTATTGTACATTTGCAGGCAATGTCAAGCACATTACAACCACCACTTGCTCATAGCATTTGTTATAATAGTAACTCAAGTTACATGTGGCTGTACATGCTTGTAGTTCTAGCTATTTGGAAGACTAGGCAGAAAGATCCCTTGAGCAACATGACATGCATGAGCAACATAGCAAAATCCTGTCTCAAAAACCAAAGAAAACATGACTATTTTTTAAAGGTCATGGGGCTGGGATGGTGGCTCAGTGGTAGAGCACTTGCTTTGCATGCATGAGGCCCTGGGTTCAATTCCTCTGCACTATATAAGCAGAAAAAGCCAGAAGTGGCACTATGCCTCAAGCAGTAGGGTGCTAGCCTTGAGCTGAAGAGCTGAGGGACAGGGCCCAGGCCCAGAGTTCAGGTCCCATGACCGGCAAAAAATAAAATAAAATAAAATAAAGGTCATAATTGTTCTTGGTAATTAACAAACTTCATTTAGATTCTAATTTTTCAAAACAATCTATAAACACAAAGCATTTTTTTTTGTTTTGTTTTTTGGTCCGGTCGTGGGGCCTGGACACTGTCCCTCAGCTCTTCAGCTCAAGGCTAGCGCTCTACCACCTGAGCCACAGCGCCACATCCAATTTTTTCTTTTTTGCTTATGTGGTGCTGAGGAATCGAACCCACGGCCTCATGCATGCAAGGCAAGCACTCTACCACTGAGCCACCTTCCCAGCCCAACTCAAAGCATTTATTGCAGGCTGAAGACTCTGTTTCACTAGATACTTTGTAGAAAGGTATGACTAGACAAGGTAACTCTAAAGATGTTTTTTCTGTTTAATCAGCAGGATTTGGATTCTGCAAATTTCTTTTATGTAAATGCCTAGTTACTGTAAATCAAACTGTAAAAGGGAACTAAAGCTGGATGATGGTGGCTCACACCTGTAATCCTAGCTGCTCAGGAGGGTGAGATCTGAAGATATGGTTCAAAGCCAATCCAGGCAGGAAAAGTCTGGGAGAAAAGTCTTAGGCAGGAAAGTCTTGTCTCCAATTAACCACCAAAAAACCGAGTCTCAAAGTGGTAGAGTGTTATCTTTGAGCAAAAGAGCTCAGGGAGGAAGGGGCACCGAGGCTCAAGTGGTAGAGTGATTCCCTTTAGCTGAAGAGCTCAGGGACAGCTCCGGGGCCCAGAGTTCAAGCTCCACGACCGACAAAAAATAAAAAAAATAAATATATAAATAAGAGAGCTCAGGGACAGCACCCAGGCCCTGAGTTAAAACTCCATCACCAACAAGAAAATAAATAACTAAAATAAAAATAAAAGGGAACTGGGGGTGTAGTGTAGTGTTGAGTGCTTAGTGTACATCTCTAGGTTCAATCCTCAGAGCCATCCCCTACCCCTTCCAAGAAAAAGTATAAAAGGCCAAATACTAATCAGGATAGTGCCTGTGATGCCTAAATTCTGGCAGGCCATTCTGTTATTTCAGTCTTCTATATATCCCTGACTGTCCTCCAGTTCATGACCCTCCTGCCTCAGTTCAGGGATTACAGGCATAAACTCTACTACACCCTCAAAATGAATGCAGTAATAAGGATCAAACCTGGGATTTAGTGCATGCTAGGCAAGCACTCTACCACTACACTGTATCTCTGGCCCAACACAACACTTTTGATTAGAATCAAATGATATAGTGGGGGGGGAACTAAGTATTTAAGGAGCTTTAAAAAGTTTTCTTTTTTTTTTTAATTTCTTTCATTTTTTTGTGAACATACTGTACAGAGGGGCTTTAAAAAGTTTTCACAGTAGGCTCTTATCTCCAATTGTCCAGCAAAAAGCTGGAAGAGATGTGGTTCAAGTGGTACAGCACCTGCTTTCAACAAAAAAAGCCAGGCAAGATTAAAGGGCCCTGAATTCAAGCCCCAATACCAGAATGTACGCATGCACACAAGGTTTCAGTGTTCTTCACTACTTTACTTGGACTATATAACTGAGGGAAAAAAAGTTATGGCCAAATATTTACATCAGCTATACTTCTAAAAGCTGAACTTTGGAAAACTGACAACAATGATAGTTATGTGAAATGTCACCACCTGTAGTTCCGAACTACTCAGGATACAGAGATCTCTCCAAGGAGCATGAGCAGCACAGCTAGACTTCCCCCTCAAAAAAGAAAACTAATTCTGTTGAGTCAATTAAGGAAATGTGCAAGTCAGACACTGGTGGCTCACACCTATAATACTAGCTACTCAGGAGACTGAGAGCTGAGCACTGCAGTTCAAAAGCCAGCCTAGGAAAAAAGTCCAGAAGACTTTTATTTGCAATTAAGCAGCAAGTAGTTGGAAGTGTGGATGTGGTTCAGTTGGTAGAGTGTCAGCTTTGGAGGGAACTGGAGATATAGAAAGCCCAATGAGTGTGAGGCCCTGAATTCAAGTTCCAGGACCAGCACCAAAAAAAAAAAAGGCAGGTATCTGTGGCTCATGCCTGTAACCCTAGCTACTTTCAAAAGACTAAGATCTGAGGATAATAATTCAAAGCCAGCCCTAGCAGGAAAGTCCATAAACCTCTTAGTTCCAATTAACCACCAAAAAAGCTGGCAGTGGAGCACTGGCTTTGAACAATAAAGTTCAGGCTGCAGGCCTAGGGGGAGAGGAGGGAGGAGGAAGAGAGAAAGAGAGAGGGAGAGAAGGAGAGAGGGAGAGAGGGACAGAAGGAGGGAATAGAAGAGGGAGAGAGATAGAGAGAGGGAGAGGGAGAAGGGGAGGGAGGGAGGAAATTTAAGAAAATACAAATTAGGCTATGTTTAGTTAAAAGACAAAAATTGTATGTACAAATATTCTCAACTACATTAAAATATGCATAAAACACTAGAAGAGGGGCTGGGAAGGTGGCTCAGTGGTAGTGTTTGCCTTGCATGCATGAGGCCCTGGGTTTGATTCCTCAGCACCACATAAGCAGAAAAAAAAGCTGGAAGTGGCATTGTGGCTCAAGAGGTAGAGCACTAGCCTTGAGCTGAAGAGCTGAGGGACAGCGCCCAGACCCAGAGTTCAGGCCCACAACCAGACCCCCCCCCCCCAAAAAAAAAAAAAAACCACTAGAAGAAAGCCAACTATTAACAGAGTACACTCTTGTACTTGTGTGTAATCCTATTTTGTATCTTCCATATTTTCGGAAACAAGTTATTGTTATAATCAAGGTTAAAATCTTAACAGTCTCTACATTAATTGATGCTTACAGAAGTTGAGTGACGACTTAAAAGTAAAAGGTACTATGTGTGACAGTAAAGACTAAAAACCCTTTTCTCCTCAATCCTAGTTCCAAGTCTTTTCATCCTGCCTGCAGGTTCTCCATAAAATTACCACCCTCCCTTTCTAAATCTCAGTTGTCCCAACTGTTTTCTCAAGTATTACCTCATTCAAATTCTACTAAAACCTGTGAGGATATCAATGTGCTAATTAATTTTAAAATACTATAAAATGAGTAGAAATGTGAGTCATGCTTGTTAAACCTTAATCTTCAAATTGTAAACTAATTATATGAAAACTTCGATATCATCTCTGACTCAAAGGTCTTATCTCTCAAAAGTCACTGAGCAAGCCATTCCTAGCTGTTTTCATACAAGACAAGAGAAAGTAAACCAACTTGTTAAGTTTGTTGCTGCTTTTTTTAAGTTTTAGTGCAGAATTTAGCGTAACAGGTTAAGGGAAAGAGAAAGAGAAACATTTCCTGCTTCCCACGCAGGAAAGGGAGTTAAGTCTACTAAACCAATACAACCCACTAAAACGGCTGCAAATTCTCTGAAGCAAATTTTAGATTACAACTTTATACTGAGGAAGTCACTAAGAAATATTTGATTTGGCTATAATACAACCCAAAATGTGTACTCCTCTTTGTTGAATGTACGCTGATAAGAGTACATTAAGCAACTGGCTTGTGTAGATAACTTTCTGACTGAAAAAGAACAAATCAGTTCTATAATCAGAGCCCGATTTCAACTTGGCAATTAAAATTGGCACAGAATGCATAGCCAAAAAGCCATCCAAGAAAGAAGGAAGTAGCCCTCCCCTCCCTTTCTTTTTTTTCAGGGCCATATTAAACTAACAATAAAATACGTGCAGTTGTATTTCTAAGTAAGCAATAACTTAAGAAAATGATCGATCTAAGTGGCATGGGAGCAACATCGCTTCCACATCGCTCGCTGTACGAAAGCGGAATGTAGGGATGAAGTTTCTCTAATGCAAGTCAGAATCATCGTTTTTTAACAGAGCTTATTTCATTCTTTCGTTCTGGGGCGGCGGCGGGCCGGGGGTTGGGGGGGGGTTGGAAGCAAATTGTTACATTTTCCCAAATAGGCATCCATCCCCATTCCCAACGCACACAGAACGCGGACTCTTATTTTGATGAGTCTACCAGGGCCAAGTCTGCAGCGCGAGGAGGCTCCCGCAGCCCCGGTGCCGCGAAAGCGTCGTCCGTCACGCATCACCCGGCTCCGGTGACAGCGACCGAGCCTGGCCGCGACAGCGGCACACGCGGCCGGAGAGCGGGCGCAGGCGCGGACGCCCGTCGGGGACTCGTCCGCGGTTCCTCCAGGCACCTCCCGAAAAGACCCAGCCATTTCCTTCCCCGGCGCGCCGAGCCGCCGAGCCGCTCACCACCACCACCACCACCTCCTCCCGCATTTCCTCGGAACACCGCCGACCGGCGCTCAGCGTTTCCCACCACCGCGACAAAAAGAGGAAAAAAAAAGCAAACTTCGGTCTGATTAAAGAGAGCGCCGGGCGCCACAGGAGGCGGCGGCGGCGCGGTCCCGCGCGCGGGCCTCGGGCCGGTCACCCGAGCGCTCGCGAGCCTCGGGGCCCGGCCTCCTCCGGGCCCGGCCTCCTCGGGGCGCGGCCGCGGCTGGCTGGGGCACCGGAGCGGCCGCGAGCGCGGCGGCGGCGGCGGCGGCTACCAGGCCTGCGGCCCGCATCTCCCCCGTCGCCCCGCCGCCGCCCGCACCTCACCTGAGGGCTGTCCTCCAGCGTCTCTTCGATGGGCAGCTTGTCGATCCCCGGCATGGTGACGAAGGGAAGGCGGCGGCGGCGAGAGACGCGGCAGACGCCCACGGATCAGAGCGCCGGCCCGCCCGCAGCAGCTCACCCCAGCCCACCCTCTCAGGCGCAGCCTCCGCCCGCGCCAGGCTGCCAGCCGCCGTGAGGCCGCGAGGGAAATCCCGCCCTCCACACGTCAGGCCCCGCCTCCAGGCCGCTCATTGGTCGGAGGTGACTTCCATCAGCGCTGCGGGGCTGACCAGGAGGTTCCTACGAGGCGCCGGGTTCTACTGCTAGGGCTGTAGGATTGGTGAAGGTGCGGCGGTGCTTAGAGCGCCTTCCTTGCGAGCGCTTTTGTAAGTCTTGGTGGACAGTCGTGGTCGCGGCTAGAAAATAACTTGAGCCTCGAGTTGGGCCGCGCCAGGGGATTCGCGTCAGCCTTAGCTCCTCTGTACCTGATTTCCTGAGCGACTTTGGGCGGGTGGGGAGAGGAGTTTCCTGAACTCACAGCCCTTCCATCCCTTGCGTCGGGCAAGTCTTCGCAGCCACGCGGTGCTGGTTAACTCACAAGTCTAGAATCTGCAGCTCTCTGGTGATCTGTGGGCAGTAAGCACAAAACCAGCTTTCTAGAAGCACTTGGATAGAACTTGGTTAAAAGCCCGTGCCTGTGTTGACAATACCTTAACTCTTCCCGGGCTGCCCAGGCTTCCATACTTTTTCTTTTAAACTTTTTTGTTCTCTCTTTTTGAACATCTGGTTTTGTGCTTGTTAGGCAATAGTTACGCCTTACTCCTAGCCTCAGAAGACAGTTAAGGTTGCTTTTTTAACTTATTTTATTTATTTTGCCGGACCTGGGGCTAGAACCTCTAGTGCTGTCCCTGAGCAAATTTTTGCTCCAGGCAAGTGCTCTACCACTTAAGCCACAGCACCATTTCCAGCTTTTTCTGTGATTTATTGGAGCTAAGAGTCTCATGGACTTAACTGCCCTAGCTTCAGACTGTGATAGTCAGATCTCAGCCTCCTGAGAAGCGCCCGTTTTTGTTTGTTTTTGTTGTTTTTGTTTTGTTTTGTCTTGCCAGTCCTGGGGCTCAAAGGGCCTGGGCACTGTCACCGAGCTGCTTTTGCTCAAGGCTAGCACTCTACCACCTGAGCAACACGTTTATGTTTATGTGGTACTGAGGAATCTAACCCAGGCCTTCAGGCATGCTAGTCAGGCACTCTACCCCTAAGCTAGATTCCTAGTCCCCCTTCCAAACTTCTTTTACATCACAAAGGAAAACATCTTGGTTGTTTTGTTGTTGTTGCTTTTTATCTAGATACATTGTCAAAACCCAAAATGTTGGGCACCAGTGGCTCATGCCTGTCATCCTAGCCTGTCTCCTAAGTAGGAAAGTCTGTGAGACTCCACCTCACTCAGAGTGAGTAACTGAGTTTTTGTGGGTTGTTTTTTGTTTGTTTGTTTTGGTTTTTTTGTGTGTGTGTGTGCTGCTACTGGAGCTTGAACTCAGTGCCTGGGTGCTGTCCCTTAGTTGTTGTTGTTTTTTTTGGTTTTTTTTTTTTTTTGCTCAAATATGATGCTTTATCACTAGAACCACGGCTCCATTTGTGACTTTTTGCTAGTTTATTAGAGAAAGAGTCTCAGCAACTTTTCTTTTCCTGGCTAGCTTCAAATCACAATCCTTAGATCTGAGCCTCCTGAATCTAGGTGCCTGATATGCAAATGAGCTTTTCTAGTCATCAAAAAAAGTTTTGGAAGAGTCTTTTAATAGTTTCTTAGGCTTCCCATCGTATGATAAAAAATGAAGCTCAAGGAAGTTTGGGGATTTTGCCAAGTGAGGGCTAGAACTCCTTCCTTCATCCATCTTCCCCAACGTCACACTACTACCTTTATTTCTCTGTTGAGTAGTTGGAAGCTCCAATCAGAGAAAAAGACAAAGTAACTAGTGCTTTCCAAAAATCTAGCCATTAATCTCACAAACCTATTCCATTTTCAAAAAGTAGACACTGAGTAAAGATTTTAACCTGCCTGATTGAACACATACATTGGATCAAATCCAGAAACTGTGGGAATATCTGAATATGATCAGAAATGAAGTTACATATTTTAAACTGAAATACTAGATTTTCTCATGATCATGTTTTTAAAGTTTTATGGGTGCCAGTAGTTCACACCTAGAAGATGAAAGATCAGATCATGTTTTTAAAGTTTTATGGGAGCTGAGTGCCAGTAGTTCACACCTATAATCCTAGCTACTCAGAAGGCTGAGATCTGTCCAGTCTGGACAGGAAAGATAATCTCCAATTTACCACCAAAAAACCCACAAAAGAAACTGTGGCTCCAATGGTAGAGCACCAGCCTTGAGCAAATAAAGCTTAGGGACAGTACCCCGGCCCGGAGTTCAACCCCAGTACTAACACAGAAGAAAAGTAAGCCTATTACTAGCAGATCATGCATGTGATCCTAGCAGCTTGGGAGGCTGAAATCTGAAGGACTGACAGTTCAAGGCCAGTGAGGGTAGAAAAGTTCTAAAATAACCAGCAAAATGTTAGGCACCAGTGGCTCATGCCTGTCATCCTAGCTATACAGATAGGTTCAGAGCCCACCCAAGCAGGAAAGTCTGTGAGACTCCACTTAACCACCAGAAAGCCAGTAATGTAGCTGTAGCTCAAGTGGTAGAGCACTAGCCTTGAGCCAAAGAGGCTCAGAAACAGTGCCTAGCCCCTGAGTTCAAGCCTTAGGTCTGGCACATTCAAAAATAGGATAATAATAATAATAACAATAAATAGGACTGGAAGCATGACTCAAGTAATAGCAAATAAATACAAAGTTGGAAATGGTGCTGTGGCTCAAACAGGCAGAATACTAGCCTTGTGTGCAAAAGCTCAAGGATAGCACCCATGCCCTGAGTACAAGACCAAAAAAAAAAAACCTGAAAATAAAAAAATACAAAGCTCTGAATTCAAACCCCAGAAAGAGGTAGGGAGTAATACACAAAAGTATAAGAAAAAAAGAGTAGTTATGTGACATACCAAAGGAGAGCTACCCAGTGAAAATTTCTATTTAGTGTCTGAATTTATCTGGGCTGTAGTATTAGCATCAAGTTAAATAATTTCCTTCTGTGAATACAGACTGTTCAAAGTATTTTCAAGAAGCTATTGCCTTATCAAAGAGGAGGCCAGGAATTTTTGCTAAGATCAGCTAGTTTAAAAACAAAGAGTTTAGCTGGGTGCCTGTGGCCCTTGCCTGTAATCCTAGGTAGGAGGCTGAGATCTGAGAATCTCAGTCTGAAGCCAGCCCAGACAGTAGTCTGTGACTCTTATCTCGAATAAACTTCTCAGAAAAAGCCAGAAAGTGATTATGTGGCTCTCTTGGTAGAATCTTAGCCTTAAGCAAAGAAGCTCAGGGACAGCACCCAAACCCTAAGTACAAGTCCCAGAAAGAAGAAGATGAAGAAGAAGAAGGAGAAGGAGAAGAAGAAAAGGAGAGGAGGGAGGAGGAGGAAGAAGAGGGAGGAGGGAGGAAGAGGAGGACGAAGAAGGAAGAGGAGGAGGAGAGGAAGAAGAGGAGGAGGAAGAAAGAGGAAGGAGGAGGAGAAGGAGCTTGAGTGCTGGGGGCTCACATCTGTAATGCTAGCTACTCTGGAAGCTGAGATGTGAGGATTCCTACTCTCCTGGCAGAAAAGTTTATGAGACTCTCCAATTAATTATCTCCAATTAACCACTAGAAAGCAAGAAGTGGAGCTATAGCACAAGTGGCAGAGGGCTAGCCTTGGGCAAAAATAAATCCAGATCCTGAGTTCAAGCCCCAGTACTGGCACAGAAAAAAAATCAAATTAATAAAATAAAAATTGGTAAAATCAAGTTAATGTTCAGTTTGGTGAAGAGGTAGTTTAATTGAATTATAAAACTGGTTAAAGCCTTAGGTCACTGTTTAGCCTGCTCATCCAAAAGTATTATATTAACTATTTTAAAACAACTAAAATCTGTAGAATTTTCTGTCTTCTTTGGTAAGTTTAATTAACGTAGTTTTGTACAGTTGACCACACTTTGTTTGAAGCCTATTTCCTTTTATACAGGAAATGAGGTTTGTTCAAAGAATGCCTCAGGGCTTACTGGAGACTGTTGTGTGGGTAGTGTAGTAAAAATTTTGTGCATCTGGATAATTTTATAGAAGGCAAGTCAGGACTAGGCAACATCCATTAAAGAATTATTTTGAATTGTCTCACACTTATAACTCACTGAGACATTTTTCATATGTAATTTACCACAAAATGATGTACAATCTTGTAAATAGATTTGTTAATTACTAGTCTTCTAAAATTATATTTGGTTTTTGTATAATAGATTTTTACATGGTGCTCCTTGAAGGTCTGGTCTGTGGTCTGAAGTAGGAGAGAATCCAACAACCCAGATTACCCTGATGCTTTTAAAAATTATCCTTTTAAATTTTTTACTTTTATAAAAGGTTTACAGGCTCAACGCCTATAATCCTAGCTACTCAGGAAGCTGAGATCTGAGGATCAAGGTTCAAAGCCAGCCCAGGCAGGAAAGTCTATGAGACTCTTATCTCCAATAAACCATCAGAAAACCAGAAGTGGTGCTGTAGTTCAAGTGATAAAGTGCTTACTTTGAGCTGAAGAGCTCAGGGAAAGGGCCCAGGCCCTATAACAGACAAAAAATAAAATTAAATAAATACCCTCCTAGGTCAAGGGTTTCTAGACTTAAACACATGTAAAATTTGTCTGGAGAAATTGTTAGAAGATAGATTCCTGCGTGTGCAAGAAAATTCTGCTGTAGTAGGTTGTTCTGGGAATCTTTCCAGATGAATCTGATTCAGAGTATCCTCAAACCCACATTTTAGAAAAACCCTGTCAAAAATAAGACACAGAATAACTATTTCTCTTTCACAAATAACTTCGTATTTTAAAAACTAACAAAAAATCTGGGCTGAGGCTGTAGCCAGTCAGTGGTAGAGCATTTGCCTACCAGTGCCCAGCTAAATTATTTTCTTTTTAATATCCAGCTGAGATGAACCAAATTCAGGTGTATGCATTGGAAATAAGGGAGCCCAAATTACACCATCCACTTTAAAACATTAAAACGAATGAT